ATGTTTTAGGAGACTGGGAGGATTCTTGTTCTATGAAACAATTTTTCTCGTACATTTCTAGCTCCTGAGGCCCAAAGAGCGCAGAAGTAGCTGGATGGATGTGAGAAATGACCCTGCTCAGTGGACATTACAAATGTGATACCATTAAGCCTGGAGTTGCTTCTATTCCGGGCTTGGCTCCTGATGCAGGCAACCACCTTCAAGCCATCTTTCTCCCTTCTGTGCCCCAAGTTTCTTGTATAGCAGACAGAGATAAAAGCAGCACTGGATGACCAAAGGGCTCCATGAGCCCCAAAGCAGAGCACCAAAAAGGTCTTCCGTAATTAGAATAAAAGAATAAAATGTCTTCCAAAATAGTCTGAAGGAATAAGAAACACATAATGCTTGCATTTTGTTCTTTCACTAACAGCAGGAAAACTGGCAGACATGTTTCTTGGGGCTGGTTCCATTGCCACCCATATATTCTTAAGACTGCAGTTTGCTGCAGAGCTAGGGTAGGATATAACTGCGAGGTTGCCCTCTTTTGAACTGGAGGAGGGGGCAGGAGGATAAAAGGATAGATGCAGAACATGCCACCCACCAGTGGGTTCCTGATAACCTCACAGGGTTGGTTGTTGATAGGGTTAAGACAGCCCTTGAAAAGGGCTTAGTACAATGCCTTGTACCTGTGAAGCCCTCAGAAAAAATGTTAGTGGTTAGCTCTAATAAGTACATTAATGTGCGGGCAGCTCTAGACCCACTGGGTGGCCTGTTTCTTGAGCAAAACATATACCTTTTGAAACTTTAATAATCTATGTTATGCAGAGGACTGGTGGCTCACCCCTGTAATCCTACTCAGAGGCTGAGCTCTGAGGATAGCAGTTCAAAGCCAGTCTGGGCAGGAAAGTCCTTGAGACTCTTATCTCCAATTAATCACCAGAAAAATGGAAGTGGAACTGTGGCTAACCTTGAGCAAAAAGAGTTCGAGGACAGTGCCCAGGCCCCACATTCAAGTCCCATGACTGACCAAAAACAAAAACTAAGCCAGATGCTGGTGGCTCATACCTGTAATCCTAGCTACTCAGGAGGCTGAGATCTGAGGATCGTGGTTCAAAGCCAGAATGGGCAGGAAAGTCTGTAAGACTCTTAACCACCAGAAAACCAGAAGTGGTGCTGTGGCTCAAGTGCTAAAACAGGAACCTTGAGCTGAAGAGCTGAGGGACAGCGACCAGGCCCAGGATTCAAGCCCCACAATGGACAAAATAAATAAATAAATAAAACAACCCCCAAAACTACATGTTATTTTATATTAGTCCATAAACCACTGGAGCTTTGCATGCTCCATAGTGCCCAGGATGCCATACCCTTCCTTGACTCTCCTCTAAGATGGCAGGGGTCAGTTTGCCTTGTGTTATTATAATTTGTGTCAGTGTCTTGCCTAAACTGCTAGATCCTCAAGGGCAATGATTAAACCTTTAAGTCTGTGCTCAGAAACAAGCATGCTTAGCACTGTCCCAAGGCCTTGCATCTGCTGTTCCCTGTACCTGGCACACTCAGCCACATTTATTTATTAGTTGTTACCCCTGCAGAGATCATTTTCTTAACTGTTACTTTATTGCCTCTACTCCTCAGTCTATCACATTACTTTATTTTTGCAGCATTATTTGAAATCATGTTACTGGTTTTGTCTTCTTCATGAGAATAAAAACTACAGAACACAGGCCTTATTTGTTTTGCTTATAGTTGTATTTGCCAGTTCTTCATAACTTCTTGGTATGTAACAGATACTTTAAAATACGATTAACTAGCCAAGCACCAGTAGCTCACACCTGTAATCCTAGCTACTCAGGAGGATGAGATCTGAGGATCCTGGTTCAAAGCCAGCCCGGGCAGGAAAGTCTGTGAGATTCTTATCTCCCATAAACCACTCAGGAAACTGGAAGTGGTGCAGTGGCTCAAGTGGTAGAGCTTTAGCCATGAGCTGAAGAGCTGAGGGACAGCGTTCAGACCGAGTTCAAATCCAATGACCGACCAAAAAAAAAAAAAAAAAATATATATATATATATATGTATGATCAACTGCTAAACAATGATAAATTAAGTGGTACAGTAATACCTCTTCTCTAAGTCTGACCCAGTCATAGAGAATGGCATATGGAGAATGCAAAAACCACAGCATGTGACTATGAACATCCTGAGAACAAAGCAAGGCAACTTGTAACCAGGTGCTACATGTATGGCACAGATTCAAAGGGAGGAGAGAGCAGGTAGCTGACACAGAGAGTGAGAGCAATGATCCTACCCTACTCATCCTCCCATGTGCAGCACTAAACACAGTGCTTCAGAATAAGGGTTCTGTGTAAACATCCACAATCTACAAGGTAATACCAGAGGATCAGTTGAGATAGAGATTTTGTGTGTAATTTGGTATTTTGGTTTGCAAATATTTTTACTCAGCAAATTCTCAATCTCTATGTCTTAAATGATTCTGGGGCTGAGGAATAGAGATAAGTGGTGAAGTGCTTGCCTAGAGTGCATGAGGATCTGGGTATAATTTATAATTGGTAGCAATGCAAAAAATAAACAAATTCCATCCATCCATCCATTTACCTACCTGTCTGTAGACTGATTTTTTTTTCTCCCTGCTCAAGCTGGCTTTGAACTGTGAATGTCAGATTGGAGCTTCATGAGTAGCTAAGATTACAGGCTTGAGCCACCAACACCTGTTTGATTCTCTTAAATCCAAATATTTAAATAGAAGCACACACAAAACCAGTAAGATTATGTTTTGGCTAAAATCCATATAATTTATTATTCAACAAATACTTGAGTATCTTCAGGCCATGTCCTTGAAGCTGAGTATAGAGATAAATCCTGGCCCTCAAGGAACTCACAATCTAATGAAGGGAAAAAGACACAAAAATTAACATAGTAGAATTACAATATACAATGGGAACCATTGTGGAAGACAAAGAGCACAAGAACCTAAAATCTATGGCCAATGTGTACAGGAAAGATAAGACCTAGCTAATGGGTATTTCTGCAGGAATAAATAAGATATGAAGCTAGGCACCAGTGGCACATGCCTGTAATCCTAGCTACTCAGGAGGCTGAGATCTGAGGATCACAGTTCAAAGCCTCAAGTAGAGCGCTTACCTTGAGCTGAAAAGCTGAAGGACAGTGCCCAGGCCCAGAGTTCAAGCCCTATCTATCTATCTATCTATCTATCTGTATGGTTATCAAAGGTCAGCTGATTCTCTCCATCAGAATTATCTGGAATACATTTTAAAATGTAGAGTCCTAGTGTTTTCGCATATACTGATCCAACACATCTGGGACCTAGGAATCTGAATTTTAAAGCATTCTGGTTGATTCCAATGCATCTTAAAGTAGATATGATGTATTTTTTACACTGGAAGAAGGCCTTTACATCTGAAATACTAGTCTATGTTGGTATTTAATGAGGGGAAGGGGAAGTAGAGATGAGGAAGCAGATTGACATTTATTAAATTCTACTGTAGTCTATGTATGTTAACTTAATTTTCATAGTAATCCTATGAGGTAGATATTATAATCCCCATTTACATATGAAAAAGCAAAAGTTAGACAGCTTAAGCAATTTAACACTAGCAGCTAAGGAATAGTAACACTGATATTTGAGCTCAAATTCACTTCTACAGTCTTCCAACTCCCTATATCACAATCTTCCCCTGCTACCAGGGAAAGATTTACGGATTAGAAGTTACAGATTTCTTTATACTATCCTAGATAAATAAATATAAAGAACAGTCAAGTTCAACATAATTATCGATTATAAGGATATGTCCTTCGTTGGCAAGTTCTAACAGAGGATAAAGCAGGAAAAATTCATAAAAGGAATGGACATTTGTAATTTTTTTTTGTCATCTTGCCCTCTGGTAGAGGTGTTATAAATAATACAATGGCCAAGACCTGGGTATATCTAGAGGAAAAAGAAAATATAACTGAAGACACATAAAAGCAAACCCATCTAATGTCAAAGATTCTTGGCATGCAAAACATCCAGAAGGTTAGAGGGTATTTAAGGAAAATGGCAAGGCTGGTAAGAGTCAAGTCTTTCAGAAGATGAACAGTCAGGACCAGAGACAGGTCCAGATTCTACGCTAGAAAACAGTTCTCAATCTTTAGAGAAACTGGAAATTAACTAAGCATTATCATTCTATATACTGTCTCAGAAGAACAACCAAATAGACATAGCTCAGAAAATAATGGAAGGGCCAATTCTATGTAAAAGGCTTGGAAGACAAGCCTAACCTACAAAAATCTTCCATATGAAGAAAACACACAGACATACAGACAGTCACAGGACATAGAGAGACACACAGCAATATTGCTTCAATTCCTATTCACTACTTTGATGGCTTCCATTCAGATTATTAAGCAGGAGCAGCAGACAATGCAGCATTTTAGATCAAACAAAATGCATAGTACTGGTACAGGGAGCCAATAATGCTAGGGGCATCTGAGTCCTGGAGTTCAGGAGATTGGGGTGTAAGCACTACCCCCTTCTATCACTGAGCTACAAACCACACATGAGTTTCCAATGTTAGAGAACAATGCTCTTACTTCTGGCATTCTAAGAAACTAATGAGGTCCAAGATGAGTTTTGAAAAGAAATCAGCCCACAGCACCAATGCTATGGACAGCACACAGCTTAGAGTTTACTATTTTGTGTAACAAAGACTGAAAGCCAGACTTTCTTTTCTTGCTACATTTTTCTCACCCCTCAATCTGGGAACATTTGCCTCTACTCACTTTTTCATATAATGCTTAGAGTTATATTTTAAAAAAAAAATCATGCACAGGGGGAGGAAAGTCAGGAGCAGAAAACCGGGAGAGAATAAGGGAGGGGGGTGACACTGTTCAAAAGGAAATTACTCATTACGTGAATCATGTTACTGTAACCCTTTTGTACATCATCTTCACAATAAAATTTAAAGTTAAAAAATTAAAAAAATTAAAAAACATGCAAATCTGGAATGATCATTTTGCAAAGATGTTTTATTTACACTACACTGATAGATCTTCTTCAACAGGCAGAGGTAGAGAAGCAAGTGCAATCTGTGGTTTAACAATATTCAGGCACTGTTTATCTAATTCTACCTGAAATCTATTGACACCTCAAACCTGCTACAGTAAATGTTAACTCTGGGGGTGGGGAGCAGGCATCAAAATAAAGTTTTTATCCTGATGGGAATCTCTGTTGGTTTTAGAGTCTAAACAGGATATCTGGATTACACTTTTGGCAAACTCACTGGTGCATGGGAAGAATATGTATCGTTCACATCATACTATGATCTTCAAGCTTATTACCCTGTCTTAGATTCATAAATATGCAGAACTGGAAGTTATGAGGTCAAAACAGTTAGAATGCAAGTACCCAGCCACACTGTAAATCAAGTCAACCAGTGTATAGACTCTTGGATAGTTTTTGCTTAAATGACCAAAAACACTTAAAAGGAAACCTTAAGTATACTGAGAGGAAATTATCAGACTTTTCGGGTACCTTTGTTCCTGAATTTCAAGTCTTAGGGCTCATCTCCATCACCACTTCTTGTATTAAGCATACAGGACAATTCATTATGGACTGCTTGTTACAGAGGCTGAACTCTGCAGCTGGAGGAGGCGGTAGGCTCTCAACTATCCAGAGCTGAGCCAACTCTGTGAAAGGCCAACGCTCACACCTCTAAGTCTTATCCTGGTTCTGGGCACATTTCAACCCTGCTCCAAGTCCACTTTGTTCCAATTCAGCAATGACAGACATATATTTGAATTCACTTGGCCTGAAGTTAAAGGTCTCCACTAAACCAAAGGTCTCTTTCCGATCAGTGGCATAGAAGAGCTGAACTTGGTTGGCGATGCACTGTGCCTCAGCAACATTCTGTAAGACAAAAAGAGTAGTGAAGTTCCTCCCTACACAACATCAAAGTTCTATATAGTGGGTGAGATTCACCCTGGAGTCACTGCTTCTAGAAAGTCCCCCTGGCTCTATGACCTTCCAAGTGTTGGTTAGATATCCCTCTATGAAACCACTGTCATAGCACGTATTACACTGTCTAGTACTTTCCTTTTGTTCCCTGCCTGTTTTCCCTAAAGTGCAACCATTATAGCCAATCCCCAGGTAGAGAAAGGGCTACATCCAGTGCAGGGAAATGTACAGAGCAGAGCGCCCTGTGAGGGGGATGGGTGGGATGGGGTAGGGCAGAATGGGTGAGGTAAGGAAATGCATAGGCTAGAAAATGGGTGGGGGAAATGCATAGGTTATTGCAAATAACTCTGGCTTTTTTCTACACTTTACAGTTCTGGATGGCCAGAACTTATCCATCATCACCGTGTACGTATAGCCAAAAGTAAGCCCCAGAAGATACTAGAAAAGCCCCATTAAAAACTGCCCAAAGTGTGCTGTTTAGCTACAGAATGATGAAGATGGGTTTATAAATACTATAGGCTGTGCTTCACCTCTATTTATCCATGAGACTCTCAAGTCATTTCTCACAATCAGGCACTAATCTCAGACTGGATCTTTAATCAAAAGCTTTTTCCCCTTAACCTGGCTCCTTTAAACTAAAAGAGCTTTAGAATAGGAGCCTTCTAGTTCTCATTTAATAGGTCAAGAAACCAAAGCAGATAAGGTTCAAGCATGGGCCCAAAGTCATGGGGCTGGTCAGTGTCAGTGTGGGACTGGAACTCTCCACTTCACTTGCTACTGTTTCTGATAATTAAGACTGACTGAGGTCAATAACTCAACTTCAATCAATTTTACCTTTCTTAAACTTAAGCATGCTTCAAGAGCAAATCTCTAAAGTGAATGCACTGAAATAATCTGAGATAGACACCACCCATTTCTGGGTTGTGTATCAGTAGGGTCTCTGATATCAATCAGTATTTGAGACTTAAAATGGTGCGGGGAGGGGTAAGCCCAGATGTGCTCACTCTAGAACAGTGCTGTCCAAACTTCTGCAGCTTGGATATTCTGTGAGTACCTCAGGGCGCTTTCATCTGAGTTTTAGTTGTTATATTGTGTGGGTTTATGTAAGATTTTGTTTGGGGGGCTGGGAAGGTGGCTCAAGTGGTAGAGCACTAGCCTTGAGCTGAAGAGCTGAGGGACAGTGCCCAGGCCCAGAGTTCAGGCCCCACGCACGGACCCCCACCCCCCAAAAAAAGGCTTTGTTTGGATAAAGGGCTCCTCCTACTAGTGAAAGTCTGAAGGCAACTAGTATGGTGGGTTGAGAGGTGAGACATGGAGAGACGTACATCTGTGTGTCTCTCATGGAGCATTATGGAAAGTACTTCTTCCTCCTTATTAAGTACACTTTTTATTCTCTTGATTCTCAGTATAAAGCAGTACCCTCCTCTCTTTGTAAGACACAAGAAGATAAATATACTAACTCTTGTGTTGTTCAATAAATTACATTAATGAGTCGAGGATGGGAGGGAAAAACTGGGAAAGCGCGTGTTGAAAGGGGTGACATTGTCCAAAAAGCAATGTTCTTTTTTTTTTTTGGGTCCGGTTATGGGGCCTGAACTCTGGTCCTGGGCGCTGTCCCTCAGCTCTTCAGCTCAAGGCTAGAGCTCTACCACTTGAGCCACAGCGCCACTTCCGGCTTTTTTCATTTTGCTTATGTGGTGCTGAGGAATCGAACCCAGGGCCTCAGGCATGCAAGGCAAGTGCTCTACCCCTGAGCCATCTTCCCAGCCCAAAAGCAATGTTCTCTTTACCTGACTTATATGACTGTAAGCTCTCTGTACATCACCTTTACAATAACAATAAAAATATTTTAAAAGTATATTAATGGAACTGATTCCTTCTGTCTTTTTTTTTTTTTTTTTTTGCATCCAGTTGTGGGGCCCGAACTCTGGGCCTGGGTGCTGTCCCTCAGCCCTTTAGCTCAAGGCTAGCATTCTACCACTTGAGCCACAGCGCCACTTCCTGCTTTTTTCTTTTTTCTTATGTGGTGCTGGGGAATCGAACCCAGGGCCTCATGCATGCAAGCCAAGAGCTCTACCACTGAGCCACCTTCCCAGCCCAGCAACTGTCTTCTAAATGACTACATTGACCAGACTAGAAGAACAAAATGGTTAGGATGCAAATAATTAAGATTTATGGTCTTAAAAAAAAAACAGTTCCTTATGAGTTACTCCCTGTTCAAATCCTTTAATGATTCTTTCACGTCTTCAGTATAGAGCCCATCTCTAAACATACCCACCAAACTTCCTTTGTTTTACATACCAGTGACACAAAACCATTTGTAACACCCAGTGATTTTATATCTCTTAATATTTTCTGATGCTATTCCCTCAACTGAAAACAGTCTTCCTTCCTGTGCTTCCTTCGTCAAAGTGAGTGAACTGGTCAGACTCCTGCTTGTCTTGGAATGTTAAACCTAGGTGTCACCCCCAGGAAGCATTCTTGTTCCCTCTGTGCCACCTCCTCCCCCACCCAAATCCCAAAATCCTGTTCTTGCATCAACTCTATACTACTGAATCATCTATTGATGCAGATGTGGGGGTCACACAGGGATAGTTTTTTTTTTTTTTGTCGGTTATAGGGTTCAAACTCTGGGCTTGGGCGATGTCCCATCAGCACAAGGTGAGCACTCTACTGCTTTAGCCACAGAGCCACTTCTGGTTTTCTAGTGGTTTATTGGAGATAAGAGTCTCACAGATTTTCCTGCCTGGGCTGGTTTTGAACCATGATCCTCAGATCTCAACCTCCTGGGTAGCTAGGATTACAGGCATGAGCCACCAGCACCTGGCTTAGGACTAGTTTTTTGTTGTTGTTTTGTTTTGTTTTTAGTATGCCACTAACATCTTAGCCTGAAGGTTAGTTAGTTCAGAAGAAATCTCTAGTTTCCACAAATCTCTCTCTCCCTCTCTCTCTTGTCGGTCATGGGGCTTGAATTCTGGGCCTGGGCGCTGGCTGTCCCCTCAACTAATGCTCTACCACTTGAGCCACAGCGCCACTTCGGCTTTTTCTATTTATGTGGTGCTGAGGAATCGAACCCAGGTCCTCATGCATGCTAGGCAAGCACTCTACCACTGAGCCACCTTCCCAGCCCCCCACCGTTTTTTCTTATTAATACAGTATTTAGTCTTTCCTCTGTCAAACCCTGAGCCAAGCACTTTCCCCAGACTTCCTGGGGAGGTACAGAAAAAGGAACATACAGGGCAGACAAGACATGAGAGAAAAAATATTGGGTGGTGGAGATGGCTTTTTCACATGGCAAAGAGGACTGAGAAAGGCCATCATCAGGAAAAAGAGTTCCAGGGCCTCTGAGAGGGCAAGGCCCAAAATGGCATGGAAGAAAGGTTCCTGGAATAACTAATGATGAAGCTCCCAAACACAGTAAAAATTCCAGCCCCAGAGCCAGCCACCCCAACTGTGGCAGCTCCAACCCCAATATCATGTCCATGGCCCTTGAAATGCCATGGTCTGGAATCTGCAGTTGATGACAAATGAGGTCAGGAGATGTGGGCTTGCCAAGCTGCTACGGCTCTCATTGGTCTGTCGCTGGTTGGTGCAGATAGTGGTTGACTCAGCAGCTGAGAGGTGTTCCTGACCAAGGACGGGATGGAGACAAACTTGGAGCAGGCTTATCTCTTCAGGGGATGTGGCAGGAGAGCTTGCTCCCAAGGCAGAGAAATTAAGGGGGAGGGGGCGCACAAATTTCTATTCATTGCTTTATTATAGCTGAAAATACTATGCCCAAAGTGCACATTTTATATAGGCACAGGCAGAAGATCACATGTTCATATTATGTTTAGCTTTCTCTTCTCTATGCTATTTAGCTCCACAACAAATTCTAACATGTCTAATAGTGGACAACATTGGAACCTCAGAGCCAAGTTGTTTTATACAAGGCAAACTTGAAATATGGATACTGGGTCTAACTGGTGCCATTTTGGCATCTTGGTAGATGAAGGTAAAATCCCACCCCCAGGTGATGGGCATGCCTGAATGCCTAGAGGCAGGGATGGTGACTTGGACAACATGTTATTGGATCTGCCAGATCTATACCATGAACTCGAGAGACTCTTTGAACTCTCCACCTTCCTGTGACCCTAAACTCTGACTATGACCCTATTTAGGCCAGACCACCTCAGCTACCGTTTTGCACAAGCCTCATGTCTCCTGATTCTCCTCAGGTCACAATGGCTTCCCACTTTTAACTCTCCATTAGAGTTGATCTGGTTTGTTGAAATTGTTTTTTCTGTCCTCCCTCCCTTCCTCCCTCCCTCCCTTCCGTCCTCCCTCCCTTCCTTCCTCCCTCCCTCCCTCCTTCCCTCCCTTCCTTCCTTCCTTCCTTTCGGGTCCGGTCATGGGGCCTGAACCCTGGGCCTGGGCTCTTCAGCTTAAGGCTGGCGCTCTACCACTTGAGCCACAGCACCACTTCTGGCTTTTTTCTTTTTGCTTATGTAGTGCTGAAGAATCGAAACCAGGGCCTCAGGCATGCAAGGCAAGTGCTCTACCACTGAGCCGCCTTCCCAGCCCCCTTTCTTTCTTTTCTTTTCCTTCTTTCTTTCTTCCTTCCTTCCTTCTTTTCCTTCCTTCCCTTTCTTTTTCCCTCCCTCTCTCCCTCCCTCCCTTCCTTCCTTCCCCCCCACCTCTCTTTCCCAGTCCTGGAGCTTGAACTCAGGGCCTGAGCACTGTCCCTAAGCTACCTTTGCTCAAGGCTAGCATTCTACCACTTGAGCCACAGCACCACTTTTCTGGATTTTTCTGTTTATGTGGTACTGAGGAATTGAACCCAGAGCTTCATGCATGGCAGGCAAGCACTCTACCACTAAGTCCCATTCCCATCCCTCTGCTCTTTCTTTACTCTCCTACCTTTGTAGCTCAGTTTCCTAACAATATTAAGTATACTCAAGGATGCAAGTTTTTTTGGGGACAGATGTCTGTTCACAGTTGCTGGCTTGATAATATAATAAAGACTCCTGATCTGACCTCTCAAAATGTGGCTTTTCTGTATCTTGTGATCGAATTTCTGTATAACAAACTGAACATAGTCCGGTAGTCTGTCAAATGTGTTAAGGCCAGAAAACAAACTTTAATGATGGTAAGAATTATGAAACAATTTGAGATTATCTGAATGAAGTGCTAAAAACAGCAAAAGGCAGAAAGAGCCTCCTCTGACCTCTAGTATCCATTGAAAATATAATCAGATGCTGTGCTTGGCAAAGAACAGAAAATATAGTACTTACTTTTTTTTTTGGGTTCGGTCGTGGGGCCTGAACTCTGGGCCTGGGCGCTGTCCCTCAGCTCTTCAGCTCAAGGCTAGCACTCTACCACTTGAGCCACAGTGCCACTTCTGGCTTTTTTCTTTTTGCTTATGTGGTGCTGAGGAATTGAACCCAGGGCCTCGAGCATGCAAGGCAAGTGCTCTACCACTGAGCCACCTTCCCAGCCCCTGTAGTACTTACTTCTATGGCCAAATCAAACCTTGCCATTGTCAGTTATTATATCTTTTCCAATTCTCAATATAAACTTCTGTACTTTGTTTATTGTTTCCTACCATTCCAGTTCATGTCACCTTCAGCCACTGTCAACCCTACAATTCTTTCTGTGACTAACTTCTCTTAATCTTTTCACTTCCCTCTTTGTCCATCTCTCAATAATATAATTATTGACCAGAATGACCAATTATTATTACATGATTGACCTGAATGTCCAAATGAGCCAAGAAATGTGAAGGGAACAGGCAGAGCTTGATACACTGATTGTAGGTAAGAAGATTAAAAGACAGAAGAAATTCCTTTTGGTAATATACTTTTTGTTGTTTTTTTTGTTTGTTTGTTTTGTTTTGGGTCTGGTCGTGGGGCCTGAACTCTGGGCTTAGGCGCTGTCCCTCAGCTCTTCAGCTCAAGGCTAGCGCCCTACCACTTGAGCCACAGCGCCACTTCCGGCTTTTTCCTTTGTGGTGCTGAGGAATCGAACCCAGGACCTCAAGCACGCAAGGCAAGCGCTCTATCACTGAGCCACCTTCCCAGCCCCCCTTTTGGTAATATACTTTATGGAGTGATAATCTTATTCCTTTGCATTCACCTTTAACTTTTTTTTTTTTTTGGGTCCAGTCGTGGGGCCTGAACTCTGGGCCTGGGCGCTGTCCCTCAGCTCTTGAGCTCAAGGCTAGAGCTCTACCACTTGAGCCACAGTGCCACTTCCGGCTTTTTTCATTTTGCTTAGGTGGTGCTGAGGAATTGAACCCAGGGCCTCAGGCATGCAAGGCAAGCACTCTACCACTGAGCCATCTTCCCAGCCCCTCACCTTTAACTTTTGGTCCCTTACTTACTTCCTTAAATCAGTTGCCCACCAGGCGCTTCTGGCTCATACCTGTAATCCTAGCTACTCTTGAGGCTGAGATCTGAGGATTGTGGTTGGTTCAAAGCCAGTCCAGGCAGGAAATCCTTGAGACTCTTATTTCCACTTAACTACCAGAAAATGTAAAGTGCTGTAGCTCTAGTGGCAGAGTGTTAGCCTTGAGCTGAAGAGCTGAGGGACAGCACCCAGGCCGAGTTCAAGCCCCATGACCAACAAAAAAATAAAAATTAAAAAATTAAAAAGTCAGTTGGCTAGTTTAATCTGACTCTTTTGATACTCATACTTGCAGAGATATTTCATTCCTTGAGACTAAGGATAGTTAAGCTTTAAACAGTAAATACTTTCAGTTCTGTAGGTTATTTGTCTCTGTTGTAGCTATTCAATTCTCTTTCTCTTTTTTTTATTCCAAGACCAGGGCTTAAACTCTGTACCAGATGCTTTTACTGAGTGGCTAGCACTCTCTGTTGTAGAGCAAACATAGCCATAAATAAATGAATGAGCATAGCTAAGTTCCAGTAAAAATTGATTTGTAGACATTGAAAATTGGAATTTCATATATTTTTTGCATGTCATGAAATATCCTATTTTTTTAAGTCCCCTCCAGTAACTATTTAAAGATAGAGAAAAATACTCTTTTTTTTTGTCAGTCATGGGGCTTGAACTCTAGGCCTGGGCACTGTCCTTCAGCTCTTCAGCTCAAGGCAAGCATTCTACTACTTGAGCCACAGTGCCACTTCCAGTTTTCTGGTGGTTTATTGGAGATAAGAGTCTCACGGACTTTCCTGCCCTGGCTGGCTTTATACTGTGATCCTCAGATCTCAGCCTCCAGACTAGCTAGGATTACAGGCATGAGCCACTGGCGCCCGGCTGAGAAAAATATTCTTAACCCTGGTCTCATAAAAACAAGTAGTGGATTGAGTCTGACCTATAGGCTATTGCTTACAGACCAATTCTAGAAAACAATTTCGTACTTTTTCTTTTTTCTTTTTATGGGCCATGGGACTTGAACTCTGGGCTTGGGCGCTGTCCTTGTGCTTTTCAGCTCAAGGGGAGTGCTGTACTGCTTAAGCCACAGTGCCACTTCTGATTTTCTAGTGGAGATAAGAGTCTCACAGACTTTCCTTGCCTGGGCTGGCTTTGAACCGTGATCCTCAGATCTCAGCCTCCTGAGTAGCTACGATTACAGGCATGAGCCACCGGTGCCCTGCTCACCTCTTCTCTTTTGAACCTTCATTTATTTCCTTGTTATTTCACTCAGTTCTGTACTTTAAATATGATCTCTGACAACTCCTATACTAATGCCTATAAACTGGCTCTCTCCCCTGAACACCAGGCTCATATGTCTAATCTCTTACTACTTGGCTATCTAACAGGTGTCTTAGATTTAATAGGTCCAAATGTCAGCTCCTTCAGGAGAGCAAACAATTCCTTCTGCAATACTGTCTATCTCAGTTAATGGCAACCTCATATTTCTGGATTGGATCTGAGGTGACTTCCAGTTGAGTGTGATGGATAGAAGGGTTTAAGAGAAAGGAAATTGGAAGAAATGGGACTGAGCAGTTTTTGGTATAATAAACAGTGAAGAGAGTCCCCACTATGTTCTAGACCTTGGGACCAACTGCTACTGTAAGATACTAGCTAATGGGGCTGGGAAGGTGGCTCAGTGGTAGAGCGCTTGCCTTGCATGCATGAGGCCCTGGGTTCGATTCCTCAGCACCACATGAGCAAAAAGAAAAAAACCGGAAGTGGCGCTGTGGCTCTAGTGGTAGAGTGCTAGCCTTGAGCTGAAGAGCTGAGGGACAGCGCCCAGGCCCAGAGTCAGGCCCCACGACCGGACCCCCCCCCCCAAAAAAAAAAAAAAAGATACTAGCTAAATCTTTTCTTTTGTCTCTGTATGATGCTCTAACCACCTGAAGAAAATCAAGTGGTTATTGCAATGAATCTTAGGGAGAAAAGGCTCTAAAGTGCTCAGTATTTTGAAGGCACTGTGATCTACCTCTGTCAGATAAATGAAACAGAAACAAGCAAGGACTAGACAAACAAGCTGTGAAGTAGTCATAATTCTTCTTATGGCACCTGGATATACAGGGAGAACACAATGGCATCATTAGCTATGGGCATGTAGTTGATACTCTAGCCTAGTGCCTCTCAACTGAGAATGGAAAAGGAGAAAAAGAGATCATTAGGGATGGTGACAGTTGTATAGACAAACAATGTGGCAGAGGATAAAAGTCTAAGAACTATTCTAGACTGAACTCATCCCTTCATGGATGTAGCTGTTTTCTTTTTAACCTCTTCATTGAAATCCCTAGGTCAGAATCCCTGGACTCAGAATGATTGGATTTTAGAAAGTTATAGATGAAGATAATGCATAGTTGTATATTAAGCAATTCCTTATAATCAAACTTAGTAATATTTCCCTAACAAATACATAACATTATCTACAAGTGAATTATTTAGGACTATACAGAGCCTGAGATGATTTAAGTAAGGATTTAGCTCCAAAGTGAGTTTAAGTCAGGTAAGTTTTTGAGACCAAGAAAGTTATAAAAAAAAAAAACAACGATTTTTACATCTGTGGATTTCAGAATTATAAATAAGTGATTGAGGATCTGTACTAACTTCCACTTGTTTTTGTTTCTTTTTTTGGGCCTGTTCGTGGGGCCTGAACTCTGGGCCTGGGCACTGTCCCTCAGCTCTTCAGCTCAAGGCTAGTGCTCTACCACTTGAGCCACAGCGCCACTTCCGGCTTTTTTCTTTTTGCTTATGTGGTGCTGAGGAATCGAACCCAGGGCCTTGAGCATGCAAGGCAAGCGCTCTACCACTGAGCCACCTTCCCAGCCCCCTAACTTCCACTTGGAAGAACATGAACAAGACAAATTATTTTCAACTTTGTAAGAAGCAAAGGTCATATAGTTTGCTGCAATTTGACCTCTCATGAGCTTTTTATAGATGAGTAATGCCTTTTGGGCCTATAAGTAAATCAAAAGTGGTAAATGTTGATTCTTACCAGAAATGTGGAATCCATTTCAGCTGTCATCAACACTATGCCCTTTTCTTCTTTAAGTTCAGGGTAGTGATATAAAATCAGCTGGCTGGCTGCAGCATCCCCCCGGGTCTGTAAGGAGGAACACTTATCAGAGCCACCACCACCACAAGCTGCAATTTCAAAGCAATAGAGTCTGGAGGAAAGTCTGGCTCTTAACAGCCCTTTGGGTGGCTATTGAGTTGGAGGACTGGTATGTGGAGGCAAGGTCAGGCCTGCAAAGGCATGGGGAAACTGACAATTTGCACGGTGTTATTTGTGTCTTCAATTGCAAAAGGTTTGGCTTTTTTCCCAGAAAATGTTTATAGAAGGCAGTGAATCCTTCATTATGGCCATACATTTAAAAACAAAATGGCATGAGCAGCTACCAAATCAAATTCTAAAGAAAACAGTGTGCTTGTGTAATTGCCACTTTTATGAACTAGTGCATTTCATAGCGGAAATCTACTCCCCTTGGCTAGGTCTGAAGACTGAGCTCTTTTGTTTTTGTTTTTTTTGGGGGTCTGGCTGTGGGGCCTGAACTCTAGGCCTGGGCGCTGTCCCTCAGCTCTTCAGCTCAAGGCTAGCGCTCTACCACTTGAGCCACGGCACCACTTCCGGCTTTTTTCTTTTTGCTTATGTGGTGCTGAGGAATCGAACCCAGGGCCTTATGCATGCAAGGCAAGCACTCTACCACTGAGCCAACTTCCCAGCCCCAAGACTGAGCTCTTTTTAGCTATAGCAAGAGCTGGAGTTTGCACATAGGCCAGAATTCTGGTGTGTAGTTTTAAAATATTATCTGGTTGGGGCAGAAGAGAGAATAGGAATAGACTAACTTCATAAAGAATGGTTGGCACAGTGGTTGCTCGATCTCAAGTCTAGACTAGGAAGAAAGGTTTGAATTTAAAACTAAAGCCCTTATATAATATAAAAAAAAAGTAAACAACTACACTCAAAAAGAGATTATTGAACTTCATCTCTAAAAGTTCAGCAAGATAGGATATCTAACTATGGATGTTTATTCTTAGTAGTTCTTAGTTCTATTAAACACTTCTAATTTGACTTCTAATATTATGCTAATAATTTTGGTCATAATTATATTTCTGGATCTTTTTTTTTGGATACAAGAGCAGAATCCTGATCTCATAGATCTCTAGGTTGGGCTGTGAAGGTGGCTCAGTGGTAGAGTGCTTGCCTTGAGGCCCGGGGTTCGATTCTTAGCACCACATAAGCAGAAAAAGCTGGAAGTGGTACTTGGCTTAAGTGGTAGAGTGCTAGCCTTGAGCAAAAAAGCTCAGGGACAGAGCCCAGGCCCAGAGTTCAGGCCCCATGACCGACAAAAAAAAAAAAAAAAAAGTTAATAGCGTTCTCTAGGTGCTAGCACAATTTCCAACACAATGTCATAGAGGTCAAATTCAATGACTCTGGATTCATATAACCTAGACTGTCATATAACCTCATCTCTGTCACTTAGCACTATGAACTAACTAGTTCAAGTCCATTTTCTTTTCTGTAAACAGAAAAAATAACATTAAACTATATTGTGGTATATTTGTGAGGAATAAATCACATGTATATAAAATATATGATTTATAATAAGTACATCAGATATTGGCTACTAGAATTCGAGCTCAATGAATGCTAGATGAATTATAAAATAATGTGAAAAGCTGGTCCCTTACTTTAGTTTGCCTCAACTTTAAAGGTAATATAACAACATGCTTGTTTTTGCCAGATGTAGCCTTCAAATATAAAATGTCAATCTTGGGGCTGGGAAGGTGGCTCAGTGGTAGAGTGCTTGCTTTGCATGCATAAGGCCCTGGGTTCGATTTCTCAGCACCACATAAGCAAACAGAAAAAAACCGGAAGTGGCGCTGTAGCTCAACTGGTAGAGCGCTAGCCTTGAGCTGAGCTGAGGGAGAGCACCCAGGCCGAGAGTTCAGGCCCCATGACCAGACCCCCCCCCAAATAAAATAAAATGTCAATCCTAGTGAATGAGATTTAAAATGAAAGGCTTCAAATCTACCTTTTAAAAATCTAATATTTGGGAATAAAACAAAAGGAAAAAAGCAAGCAAACAGAGTACAATTTATTAAATGGAAATGATTTACCTCACCACAGGAAAGGGGCTGAGTTGGCTTGTTGGGAATGTGGCTCAGTGATAGAGTGCCTGCCTTGTAGGCATGAGGCCCTGGGTTCAATTCCTCAGTACCACATAAGCAGAAAAATCTGCAAGTGGTGCTGTGGCTCAAGTGGTAGAGTGCTAGCCTTGAGCTGAAGAGCTGAGGGACAGCGTTCAGCTTCAGAGTTCAAGTCCCATGACCAAAAAAAAAAAAAAGTTAACATCCTGGCTGGGTGCTGGTGGCTCACACCTGTAATCCTAAAGACTCAGAAGGCTAAGTAAGATCTAAGGATTGCAGTCTGAAGCCAGCCAGGGCAGAAGTCTGTAAAACGCTTATTTCCAATTAATCACAGAAAATTCTGTGGAGGTGTGGCTCAAGTGGTAGAGCACTAGCCTTGAGCAAAAGGTACTCAGGGATAGTACCCAGTCCCAGAGTTCAAGCTCTAAGACTGCCAAAAAAAAAAAAAAAAAAAAAGAAAACATTCCAACTTTGCCAAGTTTGTTACATGAGGCATGCTGTAAGTGCTGTAGAGGTCTAGTAAAGAGACAAAAGAGAACCAGATATAGTCAGATATGGATCTGGGATCTTCTAATATATGGGTATTACGTAGGGTCTAAAAATTATCCCATCTTTCAAAGTATGACAATTCATCAGGGTCATTGGAAGCACTGCTGGAATTCAGCAAACTCTCTCAGTTTCATCAAATGACAGGCTTCTTTCTTCTACCTTTGAGTGTCTTAGGGCACAAGCCACTTACCTGAATGTTTATAAGTGCAGTGAAGTGGAGTTCAGTACCTGTCCATTGTCCTACAAAGAACTCATAACCTTCCCTTCTTGGCAGTGCACACAGAAACTGTGGGAAAGATACATAAGGAGACAAATGAATAAAGAAATAAAGTCATTTGCTACATGACCAACTACCTGAACCAATCCCTCTACCTTCAGTGCTTGGTTTTTAAAATACTTCTTTTTAAACCACAAAATGCATGTGATAATATAATGAACACTCGTGTACTTCTCAACTCACATAAGAAAACAAGCATTAGAGATACTATTTGAGGATACCTCTACACCCTTTCAATCTAGATTTAAAATCTATCTGGTACTTGGTGTCTTCTATACCTTTTTTTTTTTCTTGTCGGTTGTGGGCCTTGAACTCTAGCTTGAGCACTGTCCCTCAATTCTTCAGCTCAAGGCTAGGGCTCTATCACTTGAGCAACAGTGCCACTTCCGGTTTTGGTGGTTTATTAGAGATAAAGAGTTTTCATGGACTTTCCTGCCCAGGCTGGCTTTGAAGGCTTTGAACCGCGATCCTCAGATCTCAGCCTCCTGAGTAGCTAGAATTACAGGCGTGAGCCGCTGGCGCCCTGCTCATGTATATAATTTTTTTTTTTTTTGTCAGTTGTGGGGCTTGAACTCTGGGCCTGGGCGCTGTCCCTCAGCTCTTCAGCTCAAGGTAAGCACTCTACCACTTGAGCTACAGCGCCACTTTCATGAATTCTTTTAATGTGTAGGTATAACCATTAATAGGACATAGTGTTCACATTTAAAAACTTGAATCTGGGGCTGGGAAGGTGGCTCAGTGGTAGAGCACTTGCCTTGCATGCATGAGGCCCTAGGTTTGATTCCTCAGCACCACATAAGCAAAAAGAAAAAAGCCAGAAGTGGCGCTGTGGCTCAAGTGGTAGAGCGCTAGCCTTGAGCTGAAGAGCTGAGGGACAGAGCCCAGGCCTAGAGTTCAGGCCCCACAACCGGACCCAAAAAAAAAAAAAAAATAATAACTTGAATCTTACCAAACTCTATGCATGTAACTTTGCTTTCTTTATTGATTATAACAATCTGTAAACTAATTCTTTTTTTTTTTTTTTTTTTGGGGGGGGGGGTCCAGTCGTGGGGCCTGAACTCTAGGTCTAGGCGCTGTCCCTCAGCTCTTCAGCTCAAGGCTAGCGCTCTACCACTTGAGCCACAACGCCACTTCAGGCTTTTTTCTTTTTGCTTATGTGGTGCTGAGGAATCAAACCCAGGGCCTCATGCATGCAAGGCAAGTGCTCTACCACTGAGCCACCTTCCCAGCCCCTGTAAACATAATTCTTAATTAATTAAATTACCAATGTTGTATGGAATCTTACCTACTTTTATCTGGCTAAATATCTGGGTCTCTTTTGATTTCTAAACTATGTAATGCTACAGAATTATTTTAATTAATTTTATTCTAATTATTAAATTATTATCTATTTTTATCAATTAAGATCACAAATGGCAAATGGCTACAGACTAAACATTATTATTATTATTATTATTATTATTATTATTTTTGCTAGTCATGGGGCTTGAACTCTGGGCCTGGGCGCTGTCCCTCAGCTCTTCAGCTCAAGGCTAGTGCTCTACCACTTGAGCCACAGCACCACTTCTGGCTTTTTCTGCTTATGTGGTGCTGAGGAATCAAACCCAAGGCCTCATGCATGCAAGGCAAGCACTCTACCACTGAGCAACCACTGAGCCCAGACTAAACATTATTAAGTGGTTAGTTTTATGTTTAGAATTGGGGATGGCTGGTAGAGAAGAAATGGTGCCAGAACAAAACAAAACCTAATATACATCTTGGAGTTTCTTCTTATTGCCAAGCATTCAGGCTCTGATTTATTATTATTAGATGAGATAACCTTTGTGCCTTTCTAAGCCTATCTCATTTTAATTGTATCCACTGCCTTGCAAATGACATAACTTCATTTTTCTTTATAGCTGTTTCAGATTTCATAGTATATATCATTTTTATCCATTCATCTGTTGAGGAATACCTTGGTTAACTTAGAGTTTGGGTATTGTGCACTGTGCTGTAATATAGTTTGCACTCTTCTGGATATATGCCCAGTGGTGATATGGTGGGGTCAAAAGGTCAGTCCTATTTTTATTGTAGAACTTTCATACTGATTTCCATAGTGGTTGTACTAGTTTACAGTCTCACCAACAGTGTATGAAAATTTCTTTTCCCCTGCATCCTTGCTAGCATTTTGTTATTTGACTGGATAAGATAGATTCTTAGTGTAGCTTTGATTTGTATTTCCACTATGGCTGTTAGGTAAATTAAATAGGTCGGTTTAATTAGGTAGCCAATAGAGAACACCACATGGTTTTCAAGCAGGAAGAGAAGTTTATTTATTCCCAACTGCCTGTTCCCACCTTACCCCATAGAGACCACATGACCTAAGGGGCAGGCCCATGTCTCACCTGGGTTTAAGTAGGGAAGAGATGGGGAGGCGTGGCCAAGTAGGGGAGGTGTGGCCACAGTGATGAGGATATGACCTCAGGGCCTGAGACCTTCCCAGGATGTGACCTCATGGGGGGTGGGGGGGGGAGAGGACTCAAGGTGTGCCAGTTACCTAGGTGACACAAGTCCTGGGCGGAGACTTAGCCAAGAGGTAGGAGGAGTCTGTCCCACCTTCCCATTACATTAAGGATGTTCAATAGTTCTTTATGTATTTTTTTTGGGCGGGGGGAGTCTGGTCGTGGGGCCTGAACTCTGGGCCTGGGCACTGTCCCTCAGCTCTTCAGCTCAAGGCTAATGCTCTACCACTTGAGCCACAGCGCCACTTCCCGCTTTTTTCTTTTTGCGCATGTAGTACTGAGGAATCGAACTCAGGGCCTCAGGCATGCAAGGCAAGCACTCTACCACTGAGCCACCTTCCCAGCCCCTCTTTATATATTTGTTAATCTTCTGCATTTCTTCTTCGAGAACTGTCTGTTCAATTCACTTGCCCACTTATTAACTGGATTATCTGGCTTTTTTTGTTTAATTTCTTTGAGCTCATTGTGTATTTTGGATATTAATCCAATCCCTTATCTGTTGAATAGCTAGCAAAGATTTTCTCCCATTCCATAGGCTGTCTCTTGGTTCTGGTAATTTTTTTTTTGCATGCATAAACCTTTTAATTTGATTTAGCTCCATTCATTTTTATTCTTATTTTCTGTGCAACTGTATTGTTCATAAAATAATCACCTGTATCTCTAACTTCCAGAATAGCATGACAAAAACTGCAAAGAAGACTATCAATAAACAGAATTATGAAGGAGGCTGTAAAGATTAAGGATTTCAGTCTCTTCCAATACGCACTTTTACTGTTAATATCTACACCAGAAAGGCCTGAGTTATGATGGAGAGCTAAAAAGTCTAAAGTTCATTGGTTAAACTAATATGCTCTCATAAGGCTAAAAATATCACTCACTAGAACAATTTACATCTGAGAGTATGGACTGATACGGGATCAGGTGAAAAATATCCTTGTCTAGAAGTAATGAAAGCAATCTTTATGTAGTCATTAGAAACTTACTGTTGGACAAGACTGAGCACGGTTCCAAATCAAATCAAACTTCTCTTTCTGTAAAGTGGAAAATAATAAAATTAATTCATAATAAGAAAACAAAAAAGACCACAAAATCACAAGTATATTCACCAAGACTAAATTCTAGAACTATACTACAACAAAAATGTTTTTTTAAGTTCCATCATTTGTAAATCACTCTTGGATTAGAAAGGCAGGGAAGTCAGATGCATACTTTGCTCTTTTTATTTTTATTTTTTTGAATTTAGATTTAATTTAATTTACTTTTTTTTTTTGGTCAGTCGTGGGCCTTGAACTTTGGGCCTGAGTGCTGTCCCTCAGCTCTTCAGCTTAAGGCTAGCGCTCTACCACTTGAGCTACAGCGCCACTTCCGGTTTTTCTGGTGGTTTATTGGAGATAAGAGTTTCAGACTTTCCTGCCCAGGCTGGCTTTGAACCTCGATCCTCAGATCTCAGCCTCCTGAGTAGCTAGAATTACAGGCGTGAACCACTGGTGCCAAGATAAATTTTTTATTATGTTTAAGTAGTTGTACAAAGAAGTTCCCATTATACAAAACAGTATATGAATACAAGGTGTCTGACAACATTGTCATCCGTCGTATGCTTTGCTCTTTATTGTCATAATTACCTGTGAAGATTAGGAATTCCAATGCTCTAAACTCTACTAAGGCAAGCCAAGGAAAAACTGAGAAGCCCTTTTCAAACAATGAGTTAGTATAAGAGATCTAAAATGTAAAAAAAAAAAGTGCTGACTGGTAAGGGTTTATACATATCAAGAGGTTAAAAAAAAAGGATACTCTCATAACAACCAAAAGACCTAGCATGACACTTCTGCCTAAACATTTTCTTCCTTAGTCGTAAACTTAGTCACATAAACTCAGAATATCTCTGCATGCTTGATGTAATTCTAGCCTCTTCCTTCTCAGGAAAGAAAAGGAACAAATGAAGAACTAGCTGATGACCCAGCATTTCAAATGTTTACCATGACAGCAGAAGGACCTTAAAACCAGAGAAGACAGCAGCATTTCCTTCTTAGTCACAGGCCTTAATGCAGCCAAAAATTTCAAGAAGGAAAAAAAGCAAGAAAAATGCCACTAGCAGAGGGGAAATGCCAGAGAAAGACTAGGAAGAGGATCCAAGTCAGCTTGGATCTATGTTGTTTACAGACAAGAGAAAAAGCCATGCTAGAGGCCCTGTCTTAAATTCTAATAGCTTGGCTAGAAAACCCAAAAAGAAATAAAAGACATCTGGAAATTACTCAGCAGCCTGAACTTATACTATGCTCTCTAGTCAGAGACTTAACTCAGAGACATTTCTAAACCAGAAGAGGGAAAACAGAAACCATAAATATACCATACAGAGCTTCCAATCTTTGGTGCTTAGGGTGTAATAAAAAACCTCAAGGCTGTAAAATGTTAAGTCCTCAAGAGGCCATAAACATAAGAAAAGTAAAGGCAACTGCCTGTGAAGGTTAGAAAACTGACCTTCATGCTATACCACTTTTCATTTCCCTCCAACTACTTACAGGAATAACTGCATAGACCGTATCTTTTGCTGCAAAATACTGCTGCCAAATCTGTGTTAAAAGAAAAAAACAGAAGAGTATAAGTGACAGCTGGGTAATCTTTTCAACCTGTGCAAGAAATTTAACTTTTTTTCTTTTGGGGGGGGGAGGGAGTCCGGTCATGGGGCCTGAACTCTGGGCCTGAGCGCTGTCCCTCAGCTCTTCAGCTCAAGGCTAGTGCTCTACCACTTGAGCCACAGCGCCACTTCCAGCTTTTTTCTTTTTGCTTATGTGGTGCTGAAGAATTGAACCGAGGGCCTCATGCATACAAGGCAAGCGCTCTACCACTAAGCCACCTTCCCAGCCCCCCCCCCCCCTTTTTTTAGTTGGTCATGGGGCCTGAACTCCCTCAGCTCTTCAGCTCAAGGCTAGCCCTCTACCACTTGAGACACAGTGCTACTTCCAGGTTTTTCTGTTTATGTGGTGCTGAGGAATCGAACCTGGGCCTCATGCATGCGAGGCAAGCACTCTACCACTGAGCCACCTTCCCAGCCCCAAGAAATTTTACTCTTAAGATGATTAAACTGCAACTCTTCAAAAACAAGTTCTGTCATAAAAACTGATTCTGGGGGGTGGGAGATGGGAAGGGATGGGAGGGGAAACAAAGGAGGAGGCAACAATGCTTGATAAGAAATGTACTCATTATCTTGCCCATGTAATTGTAACCCCTCCATATGGTATTTTCACAATAAAAAAAAAAAAAAACTGATTCTGGATCTTTGAAATTTTTCCTCTAAAGATGAACTTGTGACAGACATCTTTTTTCCTATCTTCTTTCTCCTTTCCAAACTCATACCTCTCCAACCAAGTGTAGCCTTCTCAGTTATTCAAGAGTAGAGGGTCTAGAGTTAGGTAGACCTAGATGTAAACTACCTATGCATTTACTAGCTAAGCTATCTTTGGCAAATCACTGAAAATTCCAAAATAACAGCAATAAATTAGCAATAACGTCAATCTTACAGGATTGTTGTGAAGACTAACCTAATATAGCTCTGTGTCTGGCACAGAGTAAGTACTAAAAATAATGTAAGCTTTTATTAGCTATTGTCATATAATAAAAACCTGCTTCTGAAAAGTCTGAAAAGAGATAGATGCTGCTAGGTCTGATTGTGGTATATATCAGTCAGGAGTTCCACCTCTGCCATATGTCAAAGAACAAGGAGGGCATAGTTGATCTTTTTTTTTTATTCTGTCGGACATGGGGCTTGAACTCTGGGCCTGGGTGCTATCTCTCAGCTCTTCAGCTCAGGCTTGGCACTTTACTACTTGAGCCACAGTGCCACTTCTGGCTTTTTTTTTACTTATGTGGTGCTGAGGAATCGAACCCAGGACCTCATGTATGCAAGGCAAGCGCTCTACCACTGAGCCACCTTCCCAGCCCAGTTGATATTCTTGAAATACCAAAAAGTAGGGAATAAGGATTTGTACAATGAAATTACAAAATTAGAAAACAGAAATAGTCATTGCTGTTTTCTTGATTCATCTTTTTTTTTTTTTTTTTGGGTCCGGTTGTGGGGCCTGAACTCTGGGCCTGGGCGCTGTCCCTCAGCTCTTCAGCTCAAGGCTAGTGCTCTACCACCTGAGCCACAGCGCCACTTCCGGCTTTTTTCATTTTGCTTATGTGGTGCTGAGGAATCGAACCCAGGGCCTCAGGCATGCAAGGCAAGCACTCTACCACTGAGATATCTTCCCAGCTCTCATCTGTTTTTAATGCATCTTAGAAATACAATTTTTCTTTTATAATATATGGATATGGTCTATATGCGATTTTACGTCTTAATTTCTTTTAATCCCTTAGCATACTATATGCATATTGTGTTCACATTTTATACTGCTATTATTGTGTGTCTGTGTCTATGTCTATGTGTGGGGGGTGGGGGGATTAGTCCTGGGGCTTGAACTCAGGACCTGGGCCAATATCCTCTGGCTTTTCATGCTCAAGGAGTGCTCTACCACTTGAGCCACAGCTCCATTGTCCTTTGGCAGAGATAAAGAGTCTCATGGACTTTCCTGCCTGAGATGTTTTTTCTTTCTTTTTTTTCTTTTGTGTGTGTATGTTGGTTCTGAGGCTTAAAACTCAGGGGCTGAGTGCTGTCCTTGACTATGCTCAAGGCTAGTGCTCGACCACTTTGAGCCATACTTCCAGTTTTCTGGTAGTCAATTAGAGATAAGAGTCTCATGGACTTTCCTATTTGGGTGGGCTTTGAAACACAATCCTCTCAACTCAGCCTTCTGAGTAGTTACAATTACAGGCAAGAGCCACCAAAATACTATCTGGCCAACTATTTATGTTTATTCATTTAAAAACAATTATAGGGCTTTCTCTGTGCCATGCATTTTTTTTCTGAGCATTTAACAAATGTTAAACTCATTTAATTCTCAGATAACTCTATGAATGAAGTAAGTACTGTTAGCATCTCCATTTTACAGTAGAAAAAAAGGCTTTGAGAGGTTAACTAGCTTGTTCAAATCAAATAGCTTTCAAAAATGGCAGAGCTAGCGCTTTAAACTGGCAGCTTGACTGTATCATATATATTTTAACCAATGCAATATGTATCTCCATAAGTAGAAACTTCAGAGGACTCAGTTGGTAAGGACATGAAGTAGAGTGAGATAAATGGGAGCAGAAAAATCTATTTTAAAAAGTATTTCCTTCTTTCCTTTGCTTTCCCTTCCTCCTTCTTTCCCTCCCTTCCCCATTCATTCATCATCTATCTTTTTTTTTTTTTAGTTTTTTTTTTTTTTTGGGTCCGGTCGTGGGGCCTGAACTCTGGGCCTGGGCGCGCTGTCACTCAGCTCTTCAGCTCAAGGCTAGCGCTCTACCACTTGAGCCACAGCGCCACTTCCGGCTTTTTTCTTTTTGTTTATGTGGTGCTGAGGAATCAAACCCAGGGCCTCATGCATTGCAAGGCAAGCACTCTACCACTGAGTCACCTTCCCAGCCCTTTTTTTTAAATTTTTAAGATAAGGTTTCAAACATATCTTTCCATTTCTTACCTCTTCTGTGGCTCACTGTGGAACAGGTCAGAGGGATATACAAAAGGAGACCCAATATAACTAAATTCAGGAAGGAATCCTTCATATTGATTGTAGCAGGCTAACCTTGAACTCCTGATCTTTCTACCTTGCATTCTCAATGATGAGATTACAGACATGTGTCACCATGTCTGAAATTTTAAGTACGACATGGGCAATAGGAATGAAAAATAAAGGAGGAATACAAATTGGTTAGACATGTGAGAGCCAAGCAAGAAAGAAAAGTTTTCTCTCCCACTGTTGTTTATGTAATTCACCACTTTTTTTTGCTTAAGGTTACTTTACATTTTGGTTAGAAAAGTGTCAGAATGTATACCCCTTACCACTCTGATTTGGTTCACAGAGCACAGTTTTCATGGAGTATACCAACTCATTCTCATTCATTACCTGTTTTATTTCTTCTCCAGATTTGTCTTTCACCATCTCAATGTTAAAGATTGAACTGAGAGTCTTGAAAAAGAAAATAAAAAGCAATTACAACCTGTGATTTAAAATAGCAACAACCAGCTCTCTGCTGGTGGCTCACGCCTATAATCCTAGCTACTCAGGAGGTTGAGATCTGAGGATCAAGGTTCAAAGCCAGCCCGGGCAGGAAAGTCCGTGAGACTCTTATCTCTAATAAACCACTAGAAAAAAAACCAGAAGTGGCGCTGTGGCTCAAGCGATAGAGCGCTTGCCTTGAGCTGAAGAGTGCAGGGACAGTGCCCAAGCCCAGAGTTCAAGCCCCACGACTGACCAAAAAAACAAACAAGCAAAAAAAAAAAAAAAGACAAAAAAAAACCTAGTTTCTCTAAGCCTCATGGAGAAAAACGTCAGAACAGTGAAGTCAACCTTCAGTAAGTTCAAATAGCATAAGAAACTCTGCATGCTCAGTCAAGTTGAGTCCCCAAGTCCACAATGGCTTTTTCATTTCTATTCCTGAACAATATGCACTTCCCAAAAGCTTCCCCTTCACCAGTGAGTCATGTGATACTTTGCAATGTAAAAGGAGAAAGCTTGGATTTATTTTTAATTTCATTGGTATTCCACAGAGGATGCTATTTGCCAATTAACTAACAAACTAAATACATTTTTGATGTGTGTGTGTGTGTGTGTGTGTTGGGGCTTGAACTCAGGGCCTCACACTCTTGCTTTTGCTCAAGATTGATGCTCTACCACCTGAACCACAGCTCTGCTTGTTATTTTTTTGCTGGTTAACTGGAGATAAGAGTCTTAGATTTGTCTGCCTGGATTGGCTTGGATCCTTAGATCTTAGCCAGGTGTGAATCACCAGCAATCACTCACCATTTTCTATTTTTAAAACTACCTCCTAGCTAGGCGCAGTGGCTCAAGCCTGTATCCTAACTACTTGGGAAGTGTAGATGAGGTATTCCAGTTTGAGGTCAATCCAGGCATAAAAATTTACAAGACTATCTCAACTAAGGCTGGACTTGGTGGTACATACCTGTCATCAACACGGACACTGGAAATGATGAACAGAAGATGGTTAGAAGCCTGGCTTAGGTGGGAGAGCACCTGTCTAGCAAGAGTGAGGCCTGTGTTCAATCCCTAGTTTTGAAAAAAAAATCCCTCCTCATGCCAAACACAACAACAACAACAAAATAACTAATGCCTAGAGAAAGGACAAGTGCTACTCATTTCTTATAGACTTCTTCCAGGACCTCCAGGATTCACACTTAAGCTAGAGGTCATGCTAAGGACACTCAGAAATATTTCTCATCTCTTCAGCTGGAAAATCACCTTTTAAAAAATCAAAGTAAATACATTCAAATTTTCAGCCTCTTGTTATAGATATTTCATATAACCTCAGTCTTGGATTTCTATATTTAATTAAGACTTACCTTGTCCTTAGTGAATCCTTTATTCAAAGACTGCTTCCCCGAGGCATCTGTCTGAAATACGTGGTGAAACAGGGTATTAATCTACACTTTACTCATAGGAAAAAAGACAATCAAACTAGCTGAAGTGCCCCATCTCATTATGTAATTCTGTAGGAGAAATTACCTCTCTCTTTTTTTTTTTTTTGGTCAGTCATGGGGTTTTAACTCAGGACCTGGGCACAGTCTCTCAGCTCTTCAGCTCTACCACTTAAGCCACAGTGCCACTTCCAAACACAGTGTTCTAAGACTCACTGTTTATTTGATAAAACTTCCTTCTAAGATAATGAGATGCAGTGGGCCTGGTGGCTCATGCCTGTAATCCTAGCTACTCAAGATGCTGAAATCTGAGGATTGGGGTTCAAAGCCAGCCTGGGAAGAAGTCCCTAAGACTCATCTCCAACTAACCACCAGAAAGCCAGAAGTGGCACTGTGGCTCAAAGTGGTAGAGCACTAGCCTTGAGCAAAAGATCTCAGGGACAGCTCCCAGGCACTGAGTTCAAACCCCACAACTGACAAAAAAAAAAAAAAGATGAGATGCAGAGATGAGGAAGACTTGTTAGTAACCACCATCTGTTAGGACATTTGGTAGTGGCCACAAGCAATAGGAAGGATTCCTTCCAATAATTTAATGTGTTTGGGTTTCCTGTGAGTGGCCCTCTAAGTTATTCCTGACTGCAGTTTTTAGTACATTACAGTCTTTTTGAGTACTCAATCCCTTCTGAATACTCCTAGACTGCTTCTCAAAAAAAAAAAGGGGGGGGGAAACAAGAACTAAATGTGATTATTTTCTTTCCTATCTTACTTTCTCTGATAGAAGCTATACCCTAGAAGCCCTATTTTGAATTGTTTTTGGATAGTTAATGGAGTCTGCTTTTTATCATTTTCTAAGTTCAAGACCATGTCTTTGAGAAGAAACTGTCTACATGTAGGATTCTAAAGCTGAAATTTTCTACATAAAATCTTAGAAAGATTGTAGTTTGGGGCCAGTTTAGGGGGAAAATAAGTTACTGAGATCCTGTCTCATTAAACAAGATAGCATGGCTGTTCACATCTGTAATCCTAGCTTTGCAGAAGGCTATAGGTGGGAGGATTACAATCCGAGGTCTGCCTAGGTCAACAGTGAGACCCTATTCAAATAATAACTAAAGCAAAAGGCTAAAGGTGTGCTCAAATGATAGAACATCTGCCTAGAAAGTGCTTCAAGCCATAAACTACATTTGTCATAAATTTGCTCTTCAACTTTGCAATGATTAGGCCACTAGCTATTTTTCTTTCTTTAAACAAAAGACTATGCAGCCCAGGTAGTGCTCTTGTTTTGGTGTCCTGAGTGCTGGAATTCCAAGTGTATGCCATCACATCAGGTTTAGTGAAAGGATCAATGAAAGGATCCATCACATCCATGCTAGGGGACCACGCAGAGGCAGGCAGGTAGGCACAGGAGAAAGATTATTACAAGGTTTATTAGAGAAGCCATATTTGCCCTGGAGAGAGAGCACATGGCAGCCTCCCCTATCTAGGTAGCAGCAGGGTCTGGGGGTTAGGAAGTGAAGTAGATGGGAGTTCAGGTGGGTCTGGGAGGAGAGAGGGAGGGACCAGCTGTACAGTGGGAACTTGAAGGCAGGGAGGGACTCAGGTCTGGGTGGAGCTGAGGACCAAAGGTGGGCATAATGCTTATATTTAGTCCAGTAACTATTAACCTTAACTCCATTAGCTATTACAGCTGATTAGATTCCCTTCTTCCCTCCACCCCTTCCTCTTATCTTTCTCTCTCCCCAGTACTGAAGATTGAAATGAGCATTTTGCATTAGCAAGCCTAGTAAGACAGGCACTCTACCACTTGAACCACATCTCCAGTCTCTTTTGATATTATTTTTTTGTCCGGCTTGAACTCAGGGCCTTGCACCGTCCCTGACCTCTTTTGCTCAAGCCTAGCACTCTACCACTTTGAGCCACAGCGCCACTTCTGATTTTCTGGTGGTTAATTGGAGACAGAGTCTCACAGACTTTTCTGCCTGAGCTGGCTCTGGACTCAGCCTCCTGAGTATCTAGGATTACAGATGTGAGCCACCAGCACTCAGATACATTGACTACTTTTTAAAATTTTATTTTCTTGTAAAGATGCTGTACAGAGAGGTTAGTTACATCAGTAAGGTAATGAGTACATTTCTTGTCAAGCATTGTTACCCCCTCCTTTGTTTTTTTCCTATTATCCCTTTCCTCCAGCACCTCCCCGAAACCCTCCCACCCAGCCCCAAAGTTGTAAAGTTCATTTCCAACATAGTATCTTGTATCACTGTTGCAATGAGTCATCCTGCATCCTTGTTTCAGCATTTTGATATTCCTCTACCCCTACCACATTGACTATTTTTTTCAAATTCTTTATTGTGATTGATTACATAATTTCCCAAATTTCACAGTATTGTGGGATAGTGATGCTTAGTTAAAATCACAAACACATTCTAACTTTCATGGGACAAATTGTTTATTGTGGTCTATAACATTTATGAGTTCTATGAGCTTTGACAATATAGTTATTTCTTCCACATTGGGTGATATGTACATTTCTTTTGTTTTGCATAGCGTCAGCTGTTCCCTCTATTCCCTGACTACTTTGGATGTGGGGATCTCCTTTAATGTCTGGGCTGCAATCCTACTTGTGCTTCTTGGCGTTTCTGGGTATAAGAGGCATGCGTCACCATGTCCAGCCATTGAATCAGATAGAGTCCCATGAATTTTCTTATGCTTGGGCTGATCTAGAATGGACATCCCAGAATATATGACTCCCTTGTATAGATTCTACTTTTAGGCTATCTTCTAACGCAAAAAATAAAATAAAATCCACGCAAATAAATATTACCAATATGACTTTAGAACAGAAAGTCGAATTCTAATTTCCCACCTTCTTTTAAAGTAGTTGTAGTAGAAACCACTGTACACCTAAATTATTGTACATTCTCCCTAGTTCCAACTTTTCCAATTTGTTCCGTGTATCACTCCAGAATACTTTTCAAATCATAAGCGTAAACCAATTTAGTAGTTTCAGAGTTTTTTAAAGATAAAAAACAAGAATGAAGTGCACTGTAGTAAAAACATGGTTTTGTAAGTAAAATTTCTTTGCTATGTAAGAAGTATATAGCATAGAGTTAGGGTACAGGGTAACATGTATACAGTATTAAGTTGCAATGTAAAATATATTTCTTACTGTGAGTAATGGTCAGAAAGTTTGAAAAAAGCCAGTCACTGGTGGCTCACATCTGTAATCCCAGCTACTCAGTAAGCTGAGATCTGAAGATTATGGTTCAAAGTCAGCCCAGGCAGAAAAAGTCCATGAAACTCTCATCTCCAACTAACCACCAGAAAAATGGAAGTGGAGCTGTGGCTCAAAGTATTAGTGCTAGCCTTAAGCAAAAAGAGCTTATAGGGACAGTGCCTAGGTCCCAAGTTCAAGTCTCATGACCAACAAAAAAAGTTTGAAAAGTACTGCATTAATCTTCCTATACACAGCTTTCTGCATATTTTTCTCCAGCTTTGATTCTTGTTTAAAGACAATAATAACTAATAAGTATTGACTATATGTTCAGGACCGTGCTAATGTTTTGCATGGCATTATCATATTCACTCTTCAGCACAACTCCAGGAAATAGGTATTATTATTATTATTATTCCTGTTTCAGACAGGCAAACTGAAGCATGGAGAAGTCATGTAATTCCCCCAGAGTCACTTAGCTAAGATTCAGTCTATGGCATTTGGCTCCAGAGCCCACCTCTGTTAGCAATGAAGTGATCCTGCTTCTACTCCTTAAGCCCAAATGCCTCAGCTTGGAGGTTAATGTCTGATGTATTTCTTTAGCCCTAATACTTTCTCTATATCCACTCTCTTACAGTCCAGTAACATTCTAGGTAGCAGAAGTCTTCTTGGCTTCTTCCTGGGATTGGTTGTCTGTGAACTCCTTTTGTAAATAAAGTTTTATTGGCACACAACCACACCCACTCGGTTACTTAATGTCTGTTGGTGCCTGCTTTTATACTATAATGACACTACCTAGTTGCACAAAGCCTAAAATATTTACTGTTTGGTTCATTTACAAGAAGTCTGATGAGACCTGTTCTGTACCAAATTCCTATTCCCTTTTGCCTAATTCAACCCCCACCAGACTTTTTCCAGCCTTGGTCAGGTTCTACTTCCCAACAGCTCAATGTCATGGTGCCTTAACTACTAGACTGCACCCTTCATGAACAGGTGACGCTTTTATCTCTCTGTATTTCCACCATGATCAGAGAAGTTTGCCCTGAAAGGGTAGGACATATTTATGGATGGAGACTGAATGTAGATGCTTTGTTCATCCAGTTGATAGATCAACAAATCTTCTTTAAGGTTTAAGAGTTGGGGGAAGTTGGGAGCTCTCCTGAACCAATAACACAAAATGGGATTGCCCTTACCTTCTGCTCCACAGACTTGATAAAATCACCTTGCTTGGAGTGGCCCACAGGCTGCTTCTGAAACTCGATTCGCTTTTCCAGGCGAGACTCAAAAGCAGCTGGATCAGACCTGATCAAAGGTAAATCAAAGAGTAAACCACCTGGGCCCTTTTTGGGTTCTGGGATAATAAATCATCATTTTCTACCTCCAAAGAGAAAGACATAGGCATTCAGCAAGGCTGAAGGACCTGCCTTCAGTTAATAAGGACTGAGTACAGGCATTCTCAAGGAGTCAGTATGATGTTTTCCTCTTGTAGGCTAAGCCTCAGGGTAACAGAGAACTTGGCCCCAGGTCCCTAGAAGGCTCAATATTGGAAGGGTGCTTTAAGTCCTCCTGTTGGGTCACTTTCTTAGGCAGCTGTCAAGCTATATCCAGTTCAATTTTATTTGGATTCTGGTAATTTATAGGCCTCAAACAGCCAGTTTTGCTTTATCCTCCAAAAAACCAGTAGATGGGCGTGGTGCTGGTGGCTCACACCTGTAATCCTAGCTACACAGAAGGCTGAGATCTGAGGATTTCAATTCAAAACCAGCCCGGGCAGGAAAGTCCATGAGACTCTTATCTCCATTAAACTACCCAGAAAGCCCGAAGTGGCGCTGTGGCTCAAGTGGTAGAGCGCTAGCCTCAAGCTGAAGAGCTGAGGGACAGCACCCAGGCCCAGAGTTCAAGCCTTATAACCAAACAAACAAACAAAAAAGTAGATGCAACATTAGAATTCATTTTTTATGGTGTGTGTGTGTTGTTGTTGTGGGGCTTGAACTCTGGGCCTAGGTGCCATCCCTTAGTTCTTCAGCTCAAGGCTAGCACTCTACCACTTGAGCCACAGTGCCACTTCTGGTTTTCTGGTGGTTAGTTGGAGATAAGAGTTTTATGGACTTTCCTGCCTGGGTTGGCTTTGAACTGCAATCCTCAGATCTCAGCCTCCTGAGTATCTAGGATCACAGGCATGAGCCACTGGCTTCAGGCTTGAAGACCAGGGTAGCTGCTGTCCTTGTTAAAGATTTTTTTTCCAGGCTTTATAGGTGACCACAGGGTATTTGCTTTTGTATGTTTTGGTAACGTTGTCATGTAGGAATTCTAACTCCTTGGCTATGACACCCCAGCACCATGGTGAAGTCTGAACAATCCAAGGACATCTAGTTTTACCCTTTGTTCCTTAATCAAGGCACATTGGAGTGGGGCCTGTTCCATAAAACTCCTTTGAAGGTGACATCAAATGCCAATCCCCTCACTGCTATGTAGATGGGCTGATCATCTTTCTTTCCTCTGTAAGGACTGGATCAGCCCTGCTGGTGGTCACAGATACACTTGTTGTATCAGGAGAGAGGCCAGGAGAGCTCTATTTAGCTCTGGAGATAGAGAAATAAATAAGACAAAGGACCTACTTAAAGACACTTACTATCTAGTAGCAAAGACAGACATGTACATGAGAATGCTATAAGTACTATGATAAACACTTGCCCCAACATCCTCAAAATGCTGAGGGAGTTTCATATCTTTGCACCTCGTTGTGGCTGCATCCTTTACTTGAATATTTCACCTCTCTCCTCTAGTTTTCTGTGTATATGCTACTCAAAATTAAAAAAGAGCTTTGGTAATAGATAAGGCTACAAGGTCTGGCAGAGAGTGGAATGTGAGGGTCTTATGCAGAACACCAAAGAATTTGGATGTTAGCTAGAAGTCAACCAGGCACTTTAAAATGCTCACTCTCCAGAAGATAGCAGTGCAAATTAATGTTGATGACAATGATCTTGTAGGGAAGGAGAGCAAAACCACTATTTGTACATGAGTAAGAATAAACAGGAGCTGGTAGGCATTCAGAATAGAGAAGGAAACACTTTGGAGATGCTTGTGTGTGAAAACGATCGAAGAGAAAAGGGTGGGGAGAAATTTAAGTCAAATGAAGGTTTATTTATTTATGTATTTATTTTGGTTGGTCGTAGGGCCTGAAGTCTGGGCCTGGACGCTGTCCCTCAGCTCTTCAGCTCAAGGCTAGCACTCTACCACTTGAGCCACAGAGCCACTTCCAGCTTTTTCTGCTTATGTGGTGCTGAGGAATTGAACCCAAGGCCTCATGCATGCAAGGTAAGCACTCTACCACTGAGCCACATTCCCAGCTCAAGTGAAGGTTTTAAAAATGAAAAATACTTAAGAACTTCTAAATACTGTTGGAAAGTCAGAAGCAGTCATTCATTCAGTCTGCATACAATAGAGATACCTACACAACCGTGTTTCTTTTTTTTTTTGGTTGGTCATGGGGCTTGAAGTCTGGGCCTGGGCGCTGTCCATCAGCTCTTCAGGTTAAGATTAGTGCTCTACCACTTGAGCTACAGTGCCACTTTCTGTTTTCTGGTGGTTAATTGGAGATAAGAGTCACAGATTTTCCTGCCTGGGCTGGCTTTGAACTGTGATCCTCAGATCTCAGCCTCCAGAGTAGCTAGGATTACAGGCATGAGCCACCAGTGCCTGGCTCACAGCCATATTGCTAACAGCATTATTTGCAATAGCCAAACTATAGAACCAGACCTGGTGTCCATTAATGGATGAATGGATAAAGAAAATGTGGTATATATACACAATGGATAGTCAGCCATAAGAATGAAAAATATTTGCAGGAAAAGGAACTGGAATTTTTTAAAAAGTACCTGTTAACTTATTCCATCACTCTGAAAGGTGAGAAAGATTACTGTAGTTTTCCTGAGATGCACTGGGGTGAAAAGGTTCAAGAATGGACATGGGAGAGGGGGGCACGCGCTAGAGAATAATGGCAATAGTCCAGGTGAAGATGAAGAAATAAATTATAGCAGTGGAATTAGAGAGGGACAGCATGCAGAGAATTTACAGCCCTCAAGTTTTGGTTTCCTTTTTGCAAGAAAAGCCTTATTTCCCCATATTCTCCCCAGGCCCTTTGCAACCTTTATATCCTTCAGCATTTTAGCAGTAATCCAGGTGAAGATGACAGAATAAATTACAGCAATGGAACTAGAGCTGAGACAGAATGCAGATAGGTAAAATTAGGAACTTAGGAACCCTGCGACAAATTCCAAACAGGGGTGTGTGTGTGTGTGTGTGTGTGTGTGTGTGTGAGAGAGAGAGAGAGAGAGAGAGAGAGAGAGAGAGAGAGAGAGAGAGAGAGAGAGAGAGAGAGAGAGAGACTGACTTCTGGTAAGTCTCCTCTTTGAGGTCCAGTTTCCTTAGCTTAACAAGAGGGTTTTGTGTTTATGATCTTACTTCTGATCTCCTTTTCTTGCAGTCGGTATCCTAAGGTAGGAATGTAAAGTTCTCTACTGACTCCTCTGGTAGATCCAAATCTTTACGAGGCAACTGTCCTAGACAAGTTTTCATTCAGACTCTCATTGGAACGCTCTTGAATGTGACCTTGGAGCAAGTCAACTCCCTTCTCTAGAAGCCTCAGTTTTCCCATTCCTATCGTGGGTCAGGTCGTGTGGGGCTGCCTTCCAAGAGCCCACCTTAGTCTTCTGAGAATTGAAGCACAAAGGCAACTGTGGAAAGGGACTAGCTGCGTGATCTCAAGCAAGTGCTTGGCCTCCCTGAGTCTCTCTACCTTGTCAGTACCTTGGCCCAGGCGGGGCAGGGCTAGGGGACAGCGCCCACTGGTGGCCCCCGCCCCTCCGCGCCTCCCCTTCCCATGCTCCCCTCCCACCGCCCCCCCCCCCCCCCCCCCCGCGCCAGCCGCGCGGGCCGCACCTGCGCAGCTGCTGGATCTTGTCCCGGTAGCGGTCGTAGAAGGGGTTGGCCTCGAGCTCCGACCCCACCCCTTTGCTGTCCGTGCTGTCGCGGCGCACGGGGAACACGCGCAGCTGTGCGGGCGACACGAACCCCAGTCCCAGCGTGCGGCTGCGCACCGCGCACAGACCCCGGTAGAGGCCGGCCACCTGCAGGACCGCCGGGCCCGCGCCACCGGCCGCGGACACCACGGCCGCCATGGTCTCCCCCGCCTCCGGCTCTTCCTCCTCAGGCGTCTCGGCCTCAGCCCCCGGCCCGCGCGCACTCTCCATCTCCCTCCGGGTCCTCAGCGCCCGCGCTCCGCCTCCGAGGTTCCGCACGCCCAAAGTTCCGGTCTCTCCGAAGGCCGAAGGCGGGAGCCCCGATGCGGGCGGGGGCCCGGCAGCGCGGCCCTTCCCGAGCGCTCTCGCCGCCCCGGCGGCCCGCGGCCCGCCTCTTCCCGGGAGCCTGCCGGGATTTACCCCCTCCCTCCCTCCCTCCCGGGACCAGCAGTCCTTGCGCGCCAAGTCTCCTCTTGACAGCCAGCTGGGACCTTCCGGTCGTCGCCGAGCTCATTTCCAGCTGCATTCACGTGGCCCTCGCTGTAAGCTGTCTGTCCTTCCACAGCCAGGTCCCGTCAGCGCAGCTGCAGTTTTTCCATTGAGGCCTCTATCCGCAAACCACTACTTGGGCTTCACGTCAAGTGAGGCAGAGATCCCCCTCATTTTACAGACGAGGAAGTCTCTTAAGATGCCAGCTACCTCCCAAGCCTTGTTTCCCACTGGAGTTCCAGCCAAGATGGACTACTTACTCTTCTTCCTCAAGAGAGAGAGAGAGAGGAGAGGCAGCTGCATGCAGAGCAAAGTAATAACGGTTCACAAGGAACCAGCCTTATTTGGGTTCTTTGTGATCCCTGGGATATCCTCTCCCTTTCTCAACCCACAGGTCACCAGCTTCCTCATCTGAACGAGGTGTAAGCTCTCAGCTGTAAGGTCTCAGCTGCTCCCAGCATGAATGACCCCTCTGTGAGGGCAGGCAATAATTTGCCTTTTAATTTTTTTTTTGTTTTTAAATAGTTATTATAAAGGTGATGTTCAGAGGGGTTACAGTTACATGTCAGGTAAAGAGTACATTTCTTTCTTTTTTTTTTTTTTGGGTCCGGTCGTGGGGCCTGAACTCTGGGCCTGGGCGCTGTCCCTCAGCTCTTCAGCTCAAGGCTAGCGCTCTACCCCTTGAGCCACAGCGCCACTTCCGGCTTTTTTCTTTTTGCTTATGTGGTGCTGAGGAATCGAACCCAGGGCCTCATGCATGCAAGGCAAGCGCTCTACCACTGAGCCACCTTCCCAGCCCCAAGAGTACATTTCTTTTTTGACAATGTCACCCCTTTCCTCACTCTCTCCATTTTCCCCTTCCATCCTCACCCACAAATTGCAAAATTCACTTTTGAGGTAGTGGCCAGTGAGTACTAGATTGTTTTTTGCATGGAGTTCTTGTCTGCTTGCGTTTTACCCCATGGAAACCTGGCCTGTGGCAGGGACAGAGCCCTCAGTTCTACTCAATGCCACTTGCTCTCATGGAAGTCAGTTCTGCCCACACAGGGCACCATGTGGTGGGATATTTCTGATTTCTAGTGTGCTGGTTAGCACACACAATTGCTCTTCTCCTTGCTCAGACAGCACATTGCTACCTCTTTATCACCTAGGGTTCAGTTCATGTGTCAATACCTCAAACATAAATGAATCTCTCTTTTAATCTTTTTAAATGAATCTCTCCATCCTTTTATGGTCTGTTTTTATCCTATTTTGCCCTTTTATTTTACTACCTTCACAGGAGTCATCACTATCTGAAATCCTCAGATCCTTATTTACATTAATTCATATAGCTTACATTCCAGTGGAGATAGGTAACAAATAGGCATATACCGCTATACTGAAAAACAGCAGGCTGAGAGATAGAGATCAGGAGACACTCAAGGACCTGAAGGAAAGGGAAGGACATTATTCCCTCTTTTTCAGGTAGGAAGAATAGCACGTACAAAGGCCCTGATACAGAAGAATACTTTGGGAAGAGAAAGGAGGCTACTGCATCTCAGAGAGTGGAAGAAACAGCAGCTGAGACTAAGGAGGCATGGGCCCGGGGTGTGGGTTAAAGTGCTCAGGGCTTTGCCTGCCTTAAGGACTGTGATTTTTAATGTGAGATGGGGAATCTCTGTAGATTTTGAGCAGAGGTTGGCTCAAAAGGATCATTCAGAGCAGGTGCTGGTGGCGGAGGCCTAAATAATACTAGCTACTCAAGAAGCTGAGATCTGGAATATTCTGATTTGAAATCAGTCTAGGTAGAAGAGTCTGAAAGACCCCCATCTCTCAAATAACTTTTTTTTTTGGGGGGGGGGGTCTGGTCGTGGGGCCTGAACTCTGGGCCTGGGCGCTGTTCCTTAGTCCTTCAGCTCAAGGCTAGCGCTTTACCACTTGAGCCACAGCGCCACTTCTAGCTTTTTTCTCTTTGCTTATGTGGTGTTGAGGAACAGAACCCAGGGCCTCATGCATGCAAGGCAAGCGCTCTACCACTGAGCCAACTTCCCAGCACTCAAATAACTTTTGAAGAGCTAGGCTGGATGAGTACTCAAGTAGTAGAGTACCAGCCAAGCAAGTAAGTTGACCAAATGTGAGGCCTTGAGTTGAAACTCCAGTACTGCAAAAAAAAAAATCATCTGGCTGCTGGTGAAATTTAGGATGATATGTGGTGGCAAAGATTGAAATGTTCACAAAGAGTGACTTATTGTTTTACCCAGGATTCTTTTGGCTTTAGTATTCAAAGTGTCATGTCCTGGATAACCTTTTAATCCTGGTCAAACAGGATGGTTGTTTACCCTCCAGGAAAACCAGTGATTTAGCTGAGAGAAGTACCTGGACTAAAATGATGGGAGGGAAAAAGTGGGCAGATTTGGGGTATATTTTGAAAGAAAACCCTAAAGATTTTGTACAGACAGGTGTGATAGAATGAAAGGAGTCAAGGATGACTTACAGGCTCTGAACTAGAAAGTGTTTCTGTTTACAGAAAGGAAGAAGGGTACTTATAGGAGGAAGAATGATCAGGAGTTTGGTTTGAGACATATTTGATCAGAAATGAGGGACATAACCTAAGTTGTAGAGTATATGAGTATAAAGTTCTGAGGTATGTCCTAATTGGAGACATAAAGTTCTAGATATTAACCCATGAATTCATTGAGAACTGAATGTAGACAGAGCCTAAGACTGAACCTGAGAGCCTGGACGCCTGCTGACACTTAGGAGGGAAATAAGATTAAACCAGCAAAGAACTCTAACAAGCAGGGGCCAGTGATTAAGGAGAGCCAAGGGTAAGTGGACCCTGTGGAGAACTCTGTGTAAATAGTGCCTCAAGTCCCTCATTGGGGAACTAGCAGAGAAGGAATTAAATTGTGTTGAGAAGCCAAGCTTGGTCCAGTGGTGCATGCCACTGGGAGCTGACAGGCTTTTTAGAAAGGACTCTCTGAACTATTCTGTAAATGGATCAAGCGTCACTGGGACATGTTAAACAAGTCTCTGACTTGAGTCTTAAGGGACTTGTTGAATAAGGAAGATCTGTCTCCCCTTGCCCCCAGAACTTTAAGCATCTGATGTCAGTTGGATTCTACAACTGTCCCAATCTCTTCAATCAGAGATAATGTGATTCTGGGAAGATAATGGAAATAATTGTTTGCCACAGAGCAGGCATATGAGCCGAGCCTGAGAGGATACGCAAGTGTTCAGTAAAGAGCCACTCTTGGGTGAAGAAACATGTCCTGGATATCCTTTTAATCCTGGCCAAACAGGATGGTTGTTTACCATTCAGGAAAACCAGTGATCTGAGAGAAGTACTTGGAGGTGAATAAGAGGAGTCTGTTCACTCTAACACGGCTAGAAGGGAAAGGAGTATGAGGATTGGAAAGGGAAGGCTAGAGATACAGGACCAGATAAAGGGGAAATCCTACAGGGCTTGATGTGCCAGAAACCCATACCAGCATTTATTGGAAGGAAGAAAGTGAAACAGAAGAGAGATTGTAGGAGACAAAGAGGGAAGCATTGATCAACTGCTCCTCTGTCCTGCACTGCCACCCCTCTCCTCCCACCCACCCCCACAAGGTGTCTGGCCATGGTTTCCTAGTGACCAACATGGGTAAGACTCTGAAAGCGTGAGACCCTAGTGTGAGCCCGGGGGGATGCTCTATGGGTTCACCACAAGGGGTGGACCAATCTCTGATAAAATAAGACACACTAGGTTCATGAGATACTAGTGGATGGCCCTTTGTTGCATTATCTCATAAGCACTGCCCCTGGAATGCTCAGTGCTCAGAACTTGGTGACCTCTCCCTTAGGCAACAATGAGGTCCTGGGCCTTCTGAGGATCCCATTGGTGACAGATCAGTGGATGAGTTTCCTCGCCCCAGAGCAGTGGGCTGGGTACCAATGCACATCCTTATGGATTCCCAACAGGACCTGAGCCTCCCTGGCAGTAAGTATACCCTGAATCCCGCCATTCACTTTGTGTCCTTAGGTGTGGAGACAAAGAAGAATTTGCATGAATGGGGTGCTAAAAGGAAACAGTCCCTTCTAGAAAGAGAAGGCAGAAAGCCAGGCATTGGTGGCTCATGCCTGTAATCCTAGCTACCTAGGAGGCTGAGATCTGAGGATCTTGGTTCAAAGCCAGCCCGGGCAGGAAAGTCCATGACACTCTTATCTCCAATTAACCACCAGAAATCTAAAAGTGGTGCTGTGGCTTAAGTGGTAGAGCTCTTGCCTTAAGCTGAAGACATGAGGGACAGCACCCAGGCCCAGAGTTCAAGGCCCATAACCACCACCAACAACAAAAAAAAAGAGAAGGCAGAGACCATTCTCTGCCCAACCAGAGGGGATACATTGGTGTCCCTGTCAACAGCTGAACCATTTCCCTAAATAGCCCTTAATGAGACTTCTCAGTCCAGTGGACTGGATAGGTTCCTAGGCTGGGAGTCTGACAACCTGGCCAGATCATGCCTCCTCTAGATCTAGCTTTTTTATTTTTTTTATTATCATCTTTAAGCTCCTTGGAACTTTCCATCTCTGAATAAAAGAATGATGACACAAACCTAGGAGGAGGGAGGGAAGGAGTCATGAGAAGAGTTAATTGGCTGGGATGATGATTGGTTCAAGGAAATAAATGAGGGACAGCTCAGATCCCGAACTAGAGCACCATCAGCCAGCCTGCCTCTTTTTTTTTTCCTCTTCCTTAGTGTGGGTCTTGCTGTACTTTGGTTTCCTGGGGCTGTGCTCTGTGGTCACGGGCAGCTGCATTCTCTTTCTTCACTGGAAGAAGAACCTGCGGCGGGAAGAGCGTGCCCAGCAGTGGGTGGAGGTGATGAGAGCTGCCACATTCACCTACAGCCCACTGCTCTACTGGATAAACAAGCGACGTCACTATGGCATGAATACAGCCATTAATACCGGCCCTCCTCCTGCTGCCACCAAGATGGAGACTGAAGTCCAGAATCCAGATTCTCTGTGGGAGATGGACATCCCGGAAGGCAGAGCCTATGTGGTCCCAGAGAGCAGTCCCAGGGGTGAGGCTCCTGGCCCCCCACAACCTGCTCTTGTGGTCCCACAGCAGCCCCTTTCTTCCCCATCACAGCCCCAGACCAGCTCCCCACTCCCAATTCCCATCTTTCAGGAGGTGCCTTTTGCTCTGTCCCTCTGCAACCTACCTCCTATGCTGAACCACTCTGTATCCTACCCTCTGGCCAACTGTCCTGAAAGGAATGTCCACTTCCATTCTTTACCCACACTGGCCCACAGGGGGAACTGCTTCAACGCCAAGCCTTTTGCTTCAGAACTGTAGCTTCCGCTCGATGAAGGTGGGGCTGCAGGGACCAGGGGGCAGAGTAGGAAATGGAACTAACTTCAAGGTGGTTATTGACAGAGGTCAGAGCCCATCTGGTTGTCACTGTATGGAAAATTAAAAAGTCTAAGACTCTTCTACATCTCCTTTGCTTATTTGAAGGCAATTCCTTTCCTGTTTTGTGGGAGCACTTTGCAAACCAACTTGGTCATGAGTCTCACCAATACAACCCTGGAACTGGAGGTTGGCTATAGGGAGGCACACTGAATTAGTACTTGTGTACAGACTCGATATTCCTCCTAGTTATATGCCCTGTGTATAAACTCATATTTGCAAATTATTAGGTTTTATGCAAGGACTTCCCCTAGGAGAAGCAGAGGTTTGTGGAGAAACCCCAAACCTATCTATGACTTCTCTCTAGCAATAGGTTTTATCTTTTTTTTCCTGCTCCAAAATGGTAGAATCTACCTGGGAAGCATGCCTTTTACATTGAATCTCAACATATAAAACAGACCTAAATGTTTGAGCCTCTTATTGAAACAGGCATCACCTTGCCCTCTGCCATTCTGCATGTGACTAAAGCCTGAGCTCTGCTTACTCCTTTAGGCCAAATGCTACAAGTCTTTTTTTTTTTTTGTCAGTCCTGGGCTTGAACTCTGGGCCTGGGCCATAGCACCACTTCCGGCTTTTGAGGAATTGAACCCAGGTCCTCATGCATGCGAGGCAAGCACTCTACCACTGAGACGCCTTCCCAGCCCCCCTCCCCTTTTTTTTGGTTGGTCATGGGGCTTGAACTCTGGGCTTGGGAGCTGTCCCTAAGCTAATCACCTCAAGGCAAGCACTCTACCACTTGAGCCACAGTGCCATTTCTGGTTTTCTGGTGGTTAATTAGAGATGGGTTCATGGACTTTCCTGTCCGGGCTGGCTTTGAATTGCAATCCTCAGATCTCAGCCTCCTGAGTAGCAAGGACTACAGGTATGAGCCACCAACGCCAAGCGCAAATGTTGCAATTCTTATGGTAGGTTTCTGAACATTGCTTTGTGTCTATCATCTATTAGTCTTCGATTTCAAGAGGAAGGAGTTCATACAACTAGGATCAAACCAGATTTTTAAAAAGAAGGGAATAGGGAGGCTTCTTTAGTAAGACATAGTTGAAAGGAAGGAAATATTTTATTTAGACAAATTAAAATGGCAAAGCTCAAGTCATGAAACCCTTGATTAATTCCTTAAGAGAACCAAAATCATTTATCCATTTCCAAAATCGATCCTCTAAAACAAAGTAGATTTACATTTCTTAAAATGAGAAAACAAGGTAGGTTAGGTTCATTTACAATACATGCTCTATCAAATCACAGGAATACACAAATGTGTTCTGGTTTGGAAATGAAAGGACACACATCTAGCTGGTGTTGGCAAGCAAGCCAATGAGGTGTGTAGCAAACAAAAGCTGTCACTAAAATAGGCCATTGTGAACATGAGCCCATCACAATCAAAACCTTGCACTGTGACTGGCAGGCTGGATGCTGAGGAGCGATGACCAGCAAAGGCAAAGAAAGGAAACCACAAGGAAGGCAAAATGCAGAAGTAGGGGGCGCCCACTTCTTTGGCTTTGTTGCATAGGACCCATTTCTGAAGGCCAGGCACTCTCTGCCTTCAGACAACCTGAATTCATCTTGAAGCCAGGTGTTCTCTTCCTTTGGCTTTATTTCCACATTACTTGTCTGACTGGTTTACGAGTTCAGATTGGTCTTGAACTCTTGATCCTTCCTTCTGCCTCAGCCTCCCCAGAGCAAGGATTACAGGTGTGAGCTACCCTATTGGACTTGAGGAAGTTCTTTAAGTAAACATTACTCCAGAAAGCATGAGTCAACAAAACAAATTAGTTTTGAAAATTAGGAGAGAAGCCCTAGGAATCACCAGACTTTAAGGATAAAAGGATTTGAAACCAAAGGCAAACTCACTACTACCCAATCTCTTTCTCAACGCTGAGATGTGGCCGGTGAGGCTTCACTATTGCTCAGTGCAGGCACAGGCTAATAAATTAGGACAACATACAAATGAAAATCCCAAATCAACATTGTGTGATAGGCTGCTGTGGCTCTTAAGCCAGTGAGTCTGTTCAACTTTGAACAAAGGTAGTGTCAAGATATCTACCTCTGTCTGGGACAAATGACATGGTATCATGGGACCAAGTGCAGTATGGAGACACTGCTGACTTGGTAGGGGAGGGGATGGCACTACACATGGCTCAGGGGTGATGCTTGCTGACAAGCTCCAGATGAGAAGAAGAAAAACTAAAAGGAGATGCAAAACAAAAGTACATACCACAAAGAGTTAAAGTGTCCTGAAAGTATCTGCCTATGAATAAGAACTCAAAACTAAAAAGGACAAGCTACATTACCCTCAATATATTTCATATAAATCAGTTCTCAAAAAAATACCTTCCAGGTACAGACACACTATTTATGGTACGGTGTATACAAATATAGCAGTATAATTCAATTTATTGCTAGAACTTTATTTGGTTGTTACAAAATTTGTAAGAGAGTATATATTAAAAAGTGTGTTGTGAGGGGGGAGGGAGGGCAGGGAAGGCAGCTAGAAGACCAAGAGTTATCTTCAAGTTACCTAAAGTGCCAGGCTACTTTTAAACTATATTTTATTAACCTTTCCAAGAAAATGAAATAGCATAAATGGGCAAGGTAAATGTTAAGGGAAAAAAATTTAAATGGGAAAAACATAAATCATGACATAAGTATATATATTCACGGAAAGACTTTGTCTCACTTTAATTAAACTTTAATACTTCTTGAAAAAAAAAGTTAGCCAACACAAAGCTATCATGTAAAGAAAAAAAAACTAACCTTTAAATATGTAAGGGTACTGGACTGCATCCACGGCTGATGGCAACTTGGATAAGTTAAAGGGAAATGTTCTCTACTAAAAAGCTTCTCTAGTTTCTCCCTGACTTGGCTACAGCAAAATTAAATTTGGTAAAGTTAAGTGTTCCTTTAGTGTTGCCCAAAGACTGCTCCTAGGAACAACACCAACTCATGAGTCTAACTCAGTGTAGAGATGACAAGAATGTATTATCCTTCCGGCCCAGGGACCTTTTGTGGCAAGTCCAAAGAAGTATTTAAGGGCTTCTACCATCTTGTGAGGACTCTTGCTCCAGGCTTGCTTGCTATAGTTTGGCACCTTCTGGGCAGAGAACCACTAATAACAAGTTCTGAGCTGATGAATATGATTTTCACTTCATACTCTTTTTTGCATTAGTCATCCTACCAAGGAATTTATCATGTTCTCAGTTAGCCCCCATGTAAAATTCCAAGGGGTATAGCTTCTAGAGTCAAAACCATAAGCATAGCATTCTTCAAGTATTCTGGTGGCCAGTTTGTGATGGTGACAAGGGACTTGGGTTCTGCCGTAATAGAATGGAGGGCATTCTGAAGGTAGGAGCCAGCTATAGCTCTAAGATAGACTTGAGTTGTGGGTAGGGGGAGATAATCTAGCTTACTTGTGAGGAAAATACAGATCCCCACTGGATAACTTTTTAATGCTCAAAAACCCTAACAGAAGATTAAAAATGAGAAAGATCCTCAACAAGACTTCTCTGATTCTAGGTTGAGGTTAACTGAGAGAGCAGGAACAAAGACCCAGAATCTGACTTTCCTGAGCCTGGAGCTAGGCTATCTCCAGTGTCCATTCCCTGAATCAATTCCCTCAGCTCCCAGGCCAAAACCCATGGCAGCACCTGGGCTGAGGGATACCTTAAGGAGATGTGGACATAGTTTTAACTGCTATGCAGATCAGATTAACAAACTTTAATAAGTCATTTGTTCACATCCTGTTCAAAACCTTTCTTCCTACTTTTCATACAATATGCACAACTTTTCTTTTGTTTTAAATATTTACAAGCAGAAAAGGTCTATCTTTTAAAGAAAAGACAGTTTCTGAGTCTCTATAAAGTGCAGCTAATTTAAGGCAAATTTATATGAAATATAAAAGGTAGCTATTCTCTTTCTATATACACTTTCCAGTTTTAAAAGATAAGGTCTCCTCCTTAAAAAAAGGAGAGAGAAAAAAAAAGGGGGCTTTTTTTTTTCCTGGTAATTTCAAAATGTAAAAGCTTACTGGTTTCAAGAAACCATAAGACTTCTGACTATCATATTATAAGTAATATGGTTTTCTTTTTTAAAAAAATAATTTTTATATAGTTTTTTCAAACAAGTTAAAAGGTGGCAATGTGTCTGCTACAATAGTTTGGAGGACATGAGGGGCAGCTGGATAGGAAAAATGGTTGTTTATGTCGAGTAAATAGATTTTAGGTAGTTAGGGGTCTATCTCCATTTCCAAGTATGCCTGATGAAGCTAGACACCTAAAGCTACTCTTAGCTCCAGGAATGAGTATCTTCCATCCGAATTGGAATCAAATGCTCTCAAGCTTTCTTGTTCTGGCATAGAAGAGCCTAGGAGATTCCAGATTTCTTGGTAGGTCAACTTCCCATTCATATCCTGGCCAGTCTTGTGGAACAAATTCTGAAGATCTGTCAAAAGGAATTGCAAAAAATGTGTTTATGCATATAGCTGAATATAGCTAAAAGTAGTCTCAAGTCAGGTGAGCCAGTAGTTCATGCCTGCAATCCTATCTACTTAGGAGAATGAGACCTGGAGTATTATGGCTCAAAAGCAGGCCAGGAAGAAAAGTTTGTGAGACTCCATCTCCAATTAATCCCTCAAAAGCTAGGCTGATGGCATGGCTCAAATGGTTGAGAACCAGAAATGAGCAAGCAAGCAAGCACAAAACCCTGGATTCAAGTCCCAGTAGCCTCAAATGACTTTAAAGCAATAAAAGAAAAGCTCCTTTGCAGATATTTCAAAAAATGTTTATGTTTAGGATCTCACTGAATCATTAAGAGCAATTTTCAATCCTTTAAAAACAAGATGAATACCAAATGGCACTATCCTATAGTGACACAATGGAGAAATGCATGGCCTGGTTTTCTCCCTGGCCAGGGCCTTCTCTTTAAATTTTCATTTTTTGTTTTTGCCAGTCCTGGGACTTGAACCAGGATCTGGGCTCTGTCCCTGAGCTTCTTTTGCTCAAGGCTAGCACTCTACCACTTGAGCCACAGCTCCATTTCTAGCTTTTTCTGTTTATGTGGTACTGAGGAATTGAACCCAGGGCTTCATGCATACTAGGCAAGCACTCTACCACTAAGCCACATTCCCAGCCCCTTCCCTTTAAATTTTCTTCCCTTTACTTTACATTGAAGGGAGGTAAAGAAGCACAGAAGCTTATTTGATAGGAACTAGTCTGTAAAGCAGACCATGGCATATTGTGAGAATCTTGCTGGATGGCTGTGTGGGGAATGGAGGAATGTTTTAGTTGTCTACAAGCAATAATAATCCCCCAAACTCAATTTTGGTAGAAAAACCAAAGCTCAAAAGTGAAAGTAACTTGCCTGAGTCTTAGAAATGGACTAGAAAACATGTTTTATTATTACGCAGTCTGGTGCTCTTTCTATTAGGTGTCAGCTTAAGAACCAGGGACTCAAGATTATATTAAGCTGTCACTTCCTAATCACCAGGAGAACCATCATCAAAAAGATTTGTTAGGGCTGGGAAGTTGGCTCAGTGGTAGAGTGCTTGCTTCGCATGCTTGAGGCCCTGGGTTTGATTCCTCAGCACCACATAAGCAGAAAAAAGCTGGAAGTGGCACTGTGGCTCAAGTGGTAGAGCACTAGCCTTGAGCTGAAGAGCTGAGGGACAGTGCCCAGGCCCAGAGTTAAGCACCCACAACCGACAAAAAAAAAAAAAAAAAAGGGTATTTGTTGAACTGGGAATGTGGTAGACTGCTTGCTTAGTATGCATGAAGCCCTTGTTCAATCCCTCAGTTCAACATAAGGAGAAAATGACAGAAGTGGCATTGTGGCTCAAGGTGGTAGAGCGCTAGCGTTGAGTAAAAAAGTTCAGATATTGCCCAGGCCTCAAGTTCAAGCCCATGACTGGTCAAAAAAAAAAAAGTGTTTGTTGGTGATACCAAGTGCAGGTGGTTCATGTCTGAACTCAGGAGGCTTAAAAAAAGAATTTGATTGTGTTCCTATAATCAACTGAATGATTTAGATTCTAATACTGAAGAAGGTAAATGGGGCTTATGTTTCTTTAAAAATCATCTAAAATTCATTTCTTTTCTTCATTGAATGCCTCTTTGATTTAATGGGGGTACTGTTTGATACTCAGGAAGAATGAAAAAGGAAGGAGAGATGGATTTGGGAAGTGAATCAAAGCATTCTTGCCAATTTCTAAATAGCGCCCTACTGTCACTCCTGTCAGAAGCTGGGCAATGCAGCTAGTAAAACCTCAAAAGCTCTCTGAGAGCCAGAAAATAGGAAACTTTTTCCAGATGCCTGTCACCAAGTGCTAGATTTCAAGTGTGTGTGTGTGTGTGTGTGTGTGTGTGTGTGTGTGTGTGTGTGTGTGTGTGTGTGTGTGTGTGTGTGTGTGTGTATGAGTTTATGAAACTCATATTTCATGCTCCATACTTTCTAGTAGTATACAAAAATAAAATTTCTGTTAGGATATGTTTCCTAGTGGCATGGTACCTAAAGTAAAGGGTCAAAGAAAGGTAAGTGGAGAGATATGGGTGATTTCCCAGCAAATGCTGGGAGGTTTTGACATCACAATAAAGAGCAGAACACACTATTCGAAGGCAAATATGCTTATCTTCCTATGATGTTTCTCTTGTTGACTTTCAGCAAAGGGCTTCTCATTTTTGGAGGATCATCATTTTACTAACCTCACAGTACTATCTTCATTTTGTCCTCTACAATATGGTACATTGCTTAAGAGTATAAGCTTTGCTGTCAGTCAGCTTGAATTCTGCCTCAACCACTTACTGAGTGCCCAGACTTATGTTTACAAGATGGTGATGCAAATAAAGTATGTGGCTTATAAGTACTCAAATAAATGTTAGATACTTCTTGGTTGTTGTTGTTTAGTTGTGGGGCTTGAACTCTGGGCCTGGGCACTGGTGCCCAGCTAGATATTTTTATTTATTTATATTTATTTATTTATTTATTTTTTGGGTCCAGTCGTGGGATCTGAACTCTGGGCCTGGGTGCTGTCCCTCAGCTCTTCAGTTCAAGGCTAGTCCTCTACCACTTGAGCCACAGTTCCACTTCCGGCTTTTTTTCCCTGCTTATATAGTGCTGAGGAATCGAACCGAGGGCCTCATACATGGGAGGCAAGCACTCTACCACTGAGCCAACCCATATTTTTCCCAGCCCCCATATTTTTATTTTTTTATACAACTTAAAAAGTAAAAAGTTACAACCTTGGCTGGGTCCAGGTGATTCACATCTGTAATATTAAGGAGGCTAAAATCTGGAGAATCACAGTTTGAGGCCAGTCTGGGCATAAAAGTTTGCTAGACTTCATCTCCATACTAACCAGCAAAAAGAGCTAGAGGTGTGACTTAAAAGAGTTAGCACTCAAGCTGGGCACCAGTGGCTCACCTGTAATCCTAGCTACTCAGGAGGCTGAGATCTGAGGATCATGGTTCAAAGCCAGCCTGGGCAGGAAAGTCCATGAGACTCTTAACCTCCAATAAACCACCAGAAAACTAGAAATGGTGCTGTAGCTCAAGTGGTAGAGCACTTGCCTTGAGCTGAAGAACGCAAGGACAGCTCCTAGGCCCAGAGTTCGAACCCAACAACTGCCCCCACCTCGCCACCCCAAAAAGAGTTAGCACTTAAGCTAGCAATCTCGAGGTCCTGAGTTCAAACTTCAGTACCATACAAAAAAAGTAATGACATGGAACCTTCCTACCATTACCCCACAGTATAGAAATTTACCTTCAAGGCTAGAAATTCCTGGTAGGGAGATAGGTTTTAACTGGGTAGCTTTCTCAATTTTGTCTCCAAGAAACTGTGAAAATTTTGGCAATGCTGAAGGCTTTGATGTAAAATTCTGCACTTGTTCTGTAACAAATACATACACTTTTAGTATAGTCAATTCCAACAGCAAATTAAACAAGCACTGAAGGTCACTATTTAGGGAAATTGCGTATGTATTCATTTAAAAGAAACAATTAAATATTAACTAGCAGAGATTATGTAATGTTAAAGGCTTGGACTGAGATATGCTGGTGGGCAAGTGAGGATGAATCAGTATTATGTTAACATGAAGGTTTAAAGCAGCAGTACCCTGAAAGATGTTACGAAGGTGAAACACCTCTAATTTGAGAATCCATAATCTGAAATGCTTCAAAATTCAAAAATTTTGGAGTGTTGACGTAAGTGGAGAAGTCCACATGTGATGGTCACAATTAAAATTGCCATCAGGCTATGTATTTATTTTCAGACTTGAGTAATATCTCATTATGTCTATACAAGTATTCCAAAATTTGAAAAAAATTTGGAATCAGAAATACTTGAGGTCTCAAACATTTTGCATAAAAGAGACTTACTCAAGTGGTAGTAGAGGTTAGTATTATATGCCTTTAGATGGTAAGGCAAGATGGCAAAACACAATGAGAGGGGCTGGGAAGGTGGCTCAGTGGTAGAGCGCTTGCCTTGCATGCATGAGGCATGGGTTCGATTCCTCAGCACCACATAAGCAAAAAGAAAAAAGCCAGAAGTGGCACTATGGCTCAAGTGGTAGAGCGCTAGACTTGAGCTGAAGAGCTGAGGGACAGCGCCCAGGCCCAGAGTTCAGGCCCCATGACCAGACCCCCACCTCAAAAACAACAACAACAAAAAAAACCACAATGAGATGGTAAAACAGCCCAGTGGTTGGATATTAATGATGTTTTGACTTCCTGGGAGATGTGCTATAAGCCTAGACTGGGAGTATATGCTATCAGCTGAGCTGGAACAAAGGCTGTTAGCATAAGATTATGTAGCACAGTGTTATAAGGCCTCTATGGTAGTTCTGCTTTTCCAAAACTACTTTTTCCAAAAAATACTTGTAGGATGATAGATCAAAGCCAACACTGAAAAATGCTTTTGTTGTCTTCTCAAAGGGCCTAAATCAGTAAAGGTTAATTAATGCATTTGCTATATAACTGTCTCTACCTAAAGCCATGTGCCCTCCCACCCCAATAGTTCCATTATGCTAATGATTTTCAAAAGTGCTAATAATATTTATTTTTAAGTAAATTTTATGCACTTACAAAATGGAAAGGCTCATGAACAACATTTAGGGCTGGTTTAGAATTCACTACGACAGTAACATTTTTACCTATAATTGGATGCAGACAGCATGGAGAAGTCTATTTCCAGCTAAACATTACCCATTCTTCCCTTAATAGACCAGAGTACAAATCATGTACAAAATGGTTTTACTAAATGAAAGCAAAGTGCATCAGCTTCATCTCAGTGCGCTCAGGCATTACTCACTTGGTTCGATCAGTGCTGCTGAAACACCTTTCCCACTCTGTGCGGGAGGCAAGTTGCCCAAGCCTGCGTGAAATATTCAAGAAGCTAGGCCCGCACTCACCTTCATCTGCAGTCTCTGGAGGACTATTGCTTTCAGGTTTGTTTGTGAGAGCACTGATCAGCTGCAATTTCTCTCGTAATTTGGATACCTGAGAATTTGGGCTATCTTCTTTCTGCTCAAAACAAAGATCACAGAAAGTTTAAGGCAGGAGGCCTCAACTGAGCCTCCAATATTGTCCACAGCATTTGTAGCATGCAGTTCTTGACCCTCATTTGTCAATGAATTGATGAATACTAGAAATACCTTTTTTCTCAGTGTTGATAAGTCTCTAACTGGATTTGAGGCTAGACTATTAAGGAAAGATTACGCTCTACTCACTGACTCACTGTGAACATTTGGCTGATGGAAGAAAGCATGCAAGCATCAGCAGTTGAGGAAATGTACCATTGCTCAGGTATCTGTGCAACACCCATTTCCTAAATGAGGACAGTGCTTTCTGGAAGTTATTTCACACTAACTAAATATATCATATCACCAGTGACTAGACCACATGATGCACAGGATTTTTATTGTTTGTGCTAACACTGGGATTTGAACTCAGGGCCTCTTGTTCTCACTTGGCTTCTTCCTCTCAAGGCTGATGTTCTACCACTTGAGCCATACCTGTATTTCCAACATTTTGCTGGTTAATTGGAGATAGAGTCTCACTGATTTGTCTGCCTGGATTGGCTTTGAACAGGGATCCTCAGATTCAACCTCCTGAGTAGCTACTAGGATTATAGGTATGCGCCATGTCACCTGTGGCTCCCCTTTCCCCCTGTTTTGTCGGTCATGGGGCCTTGAACTCTGGGACTGGGTCAGTGTCCCTCAGCTCTTCAACTCAAGGCTAGCGCTCTACCACTTGAGCCACAGTGCCACTTCCAGTTTTTTGGTGGTTTATTGGAGATAAGAGTCTTACAGACTTTCCTGCCCGGGCTGGCTTTGAATTACGATCCTCAGATCTTAGCCTGTGGAGTAGCTAGATTATAGGCCTGAGCCACCAGCACCTTGCTCCTACCCCGCCTTTCTAAAGCAGCTAAACTCAAACCACAGGTATTTCCCCTCCAAGTCTCCCGATAGTGATGATTCAAATGGTAGGGGAAATCATCAGGAACAAGGAGCTACAGTATTTTTAATTGAAATTTTACTTATTTTCAACTTTTTTTTTTTAAAGTTCCTCCCTCATACTACACCTCATTCCCAGGATGATCAAGAATGACATAAAAATAAGTTTAATTAATTGCTCCTGATAATGTGAAAAGGCCTGATCCTATGTTTATTAGAACATCAACAGATCTCACATTTCTTTCATCTAATACTTTTACTTGCCTATTTTTACTTCTGCCCTAATATTACTGTTTAGCAGGCTATTTAGTTTACTTAAGGAGCTCCAATATGGACACATATAACAAAAAACAGGTACTAAATGCTTATTGTAAGGAGAAATGAAGTATGGTTAGGATGTGTTGATGAAGTAGGAAAGGAGTCTGGAAGTAAAGACAAGAAATTTATGTAAAATTGTTTACTGGTATTGTGTTCTGATGTCTACTGTTAAACTACCAACTACTACTGAAATCTCATTTCTCCTCTCCCTCTTCCTCTTTTCTCCCCCTCCCCCCCCCTTGGTATTGGGAGTTTGAACTCAAGGCCTTGTGCTTGCCAGGCAGGTTTTCTTACCACTACTACTTTCTTCTTTTTCTGGTGGTATTAAAGTTTTGAATTCAGGGTCTCACACTTGCTTGGCTTGTGCTGTACCACTTGAACCATGCCTTGTGCTAGTTATTTTGGAAACAAAGTCTAATGGACTTTTTTGCCCAGGCTGGCCTTGAACTATAAACCTTCAGAACAGTAAGAATTACAAGCATGAGCTTGTCTGGCCACTATTACTTTCAAACAGTAACCATCTGTTATTTTTTTGGTACATATTATTTATATCTGGCTCTAATGTTTAAAACACTTTTTGCAGAAGCAATTCAAAAACTCAATAAAAGCCCAGCTTATAATGCACCAAGACCTTAAATATATGTGACTTTCTATTACAAAATTGCTAAGGATGAAAAATAAAGATAGACAGCATTTTATCACTCTGGTACTAGTGGATCACATATGTAATCCTAGTTAGGAGATGGAGATTGGAAGGATCATGGTTTGAAGCCAGCCAAGCAAAAAGTCAGTGAGACCCATCCCCCATCTCAATCAATAAAAGCTGTCATCCCAGCTATGCAGAAGTATAAACAGGTACTGCAATCCAGGCTGGCCCAAGCAGAAACACAAAACCCTCTCCCAAAATAACTAACGCAAAAAGGGTTGGGAGCATGGTCAAGTGATAGAGAAGTTTTAGCACATGAGACCAAACTGCTCTTTTTGAGAAGGGGACAGACAGATGCTGATGAATTTGTTTTTATTTCAGGGAGGCCCCTGTTATTTACCTTTACATTCTGGGTTTTCACAATATCGGTTCTGTTGGCCTCTGGATCCACAGATTCTCTTTTCAGAGTGGCAGCTCTGTTCCCCACCTTAGTAGGCAAAAAGGACAAGAGAAAAAGATTAAAGACAAGCCTTAAAACTTGAACAACACTTAACATTTTTAAACAAACTGAAGCTTATTTAACAGGTCTTGCACCACTTGCAACAGGAACATCAGAATGGAGGCAGAATGGAAAGGGAGCAAGTCAAAGTAGAAGCTGGGGACTTTACAAACTTTAAAACTTTGAAGCATGAAAAGTGAGAGAACTTTTATCCAGATCCACATTGGGTACTCTGCTGTTGGGAGAAACAGTGGGGCATATGGATATTATTACCAATTTTCTCTGCTGGATAAAAATATGAAAGGACAGGGCAGGGACAGTAGGGGGAATCTGGGGGTGGTAAGTTTTCACAATAAGCCTTGAAAACCTTCCAGGCTTACTATATTCATCAAAACATCCCAAGTTCCCTACTTAGCCTAGCTAGGTTCAAAAGGGCTTTAAAAACTAGGGTTCCTTTAATCTTCACAGCTTTGTACTAAATTACACACCCTTCTAAATCAGGAGGGGCTGGTAGAGGGGGATAGGTCTTCTACTCCACCCTTCAAAGCCATGTCTGGGCAACTTGCCAAGGCTCCCCCATGGCAGATCATTTCAAACGCTCCTTGCCTTGTGCCAGAGTTCAACTTTACTTGTCAGCTTGCTTCCAGCTTTGTGGATACTTGAATTTATAGTACAATTTCCTGTATTTGGTTTCCATTTTTTTAGATGCCTGTGTCTTTGCTGCTTGACACCTTTTAAAGGTTGGGGCCTATAACAGTCACAGAATAATCCATATGTGGATTCTGCATGCTGTGTAGGTAAAAGGTGATTTTAAAAAGCCCACATTAAAGTATTCATAAACAGGTGGGTCAGCCAGCATCAGAAACTTCATAGGTGACTCAATTTTCTTATGAGGGGTCAGAGTCACTGACCTTATGTATTGAGCTAGTTTATTTTAAATGGTTCTCTTGACATTATATGCCAAGAGTTCCCCTTGATATTCTGACGAAAGAAAGCTAAATTCAGGCTTAAAAGAAATGGCAAAAAAAAAAAAAAAAAAAAGGTAACTCATTATTCCTATTTTTTTTTTTTTTTTTTTTGGGTCCGGTCGTGGGGTCTGAACTCTGGACCTGGGTGCTGTCCCTCAGCTCTTCAGCTCAAGGCTAGCACTCTACCACTTGAGCCACAGCGCCACTTCCGGCTTTTTTCTTTTTGCTTATGTGGTGCTGAGGAGTCGAACCCAGGACCTCAGGCATGCAAGGCAAGCGCTCTACCACTGAGCCACCTTCCCAGCCCCCATTATTCCTATTTCTAACATCTTGGAAAAGATCAGGAAGACCTCAGACCTCCTTTGGAAATGTGCTTAAGCTTCCATACTAGATAAGTCACTGTAACATATTAGGAGACTTGTGATCTCTGCCAACAACTTGTGATGGTAAGGCCTTGGAAAGCAAGTTGATGCCGCCACAACTCCCTTTCCAAATGTACTGGCACAGCCTCTGTCAGTCACATCACAGAGCTGGTGGAATGACTAAAGGAGACAGGGATTAAGTACAACACAGATGTTCTCAAGAACAGCGACGTCTGTTCTCAAAAGGAGGTAGAATCTCATCTACATATAGACAAAATACATTGCAACAAGAACATGTCACAAAAGAAATGCTGTAAATGCTTACCATGCTGGAAGTCAGGTTTGCTTTCTTTTCTACCTTGCTCAAAGCAACCATATCACTTTCTATCAGGTTGACTCTCTGCGTAAGATTAGTGAGTGTCTCATTCATCCCCTCGAATTTAAGATCATTCTGTCTCTGGTACCCCACTATGGCACTGTTTACCTCCTCTAAAGAGTTGTGAAGGTACAGGACATCCTAGAGTAGAAATAAATCAAGTTGCAGAATGCAGCTAAAGATTGCTATTAGACAAGCAGGCCAGCAGCACAGAACAACTATTTCTATGCCAAATTATTGAAGCAAACTCCATTTTCCCCGCTGTAACCATCCATCTTCTGTCCCTGCCTTGTCCTTCCCCCAATTCTAAATTGCTCCCACTTTACTCCCCATGAAATGGTATGATCTCAGTTGGACAGAGGGAAGAGGAAAACATATGTGATTCCCTCTATGATCCCAGAAAGCAGAGTTTGGGAATTGATTTCCCAGTGTTCACCTCACCTGTTGGCAGGAAGGCTGGCTGGGTTATTAACTGAAAATCCCATTAACTTAATTCATCAGAGCAAGACTACCTTAGGAACAATATCAACTATTAAATTGGTTCATGTAACAAAACCATAACAAGTAGTGCATTACTGATTGCTACTTAAAAAGAAATGATGCCTACAGGTTTTAAAGGTTTTTAAACTCAGGAAAGAAATTCTTTTCAGTGAACATTTCCTTTATTTTGGTTAATGTGATTCTGAACTCAGTATTCTTTTTTACTCTCTTCTTGCCTTTTTTTTAGATTTAAGAAAATTCCAATTTTCAACACTATGCTTCCTGCTGGGCACTGACTGCTTATGTTTATTCTCTTAGCTACTCTGGAGGCTAATTGAGGATTTAGCCAGCAAAAGCTGAAAAAAAAAAAGCTGAAAACAGCGGCATGGCTTAAGTGGTAGAGTGCCAACTGTGAGCAAAACAGATGAACAAGGGTGAGACGCCCTGAGTTCAAGCTCTAGTAGTGGCAAAAAAAAAAAAAAAAAAGGAGAAAGAAATGCTTTAAGGCAAGTACTCTGTTATGGAGCTTTATCCCCAACCCTAGATTGAGGTTCCCCACTTTCCCCCATAGACCAGGAAAATGTGATCATTCTATGTCTTTCAAGATGAAAATGGAATTTACCCCACTGACTGACATGCAGAGGAAAAGCCATGTTCAAAGGATAGCATTTTAGCTTCCCTAGATGCCAGCACACATCCTCCTCTACCAGCTCTTAACAGGCAAATAGATACATAAGATATTGATTGAGGTACCATAACACTAAGACTAAACCCTCAGTCTGCCTCTATAGTCCATCACGGCCCAGAGGTAAAAAGTACCTGTTTCCAATTCTCACTGTGGGTTTTATTGTCAAGTTCCGATGAAGGTGATGGTGATGGAACAATCTGGTTGCTTCCATTGGTGTCCTTTAAGAAATGTTGATTCTGTTAATACAAATGGAGGGTGAGATAGGAAACAATTGCTAGATCTACTTAACCATCTGGAATGGTCCTGGAACATTCTAGCCTCCCCCAGGATACAAGCAAGATAATTCGGCCTTTCCTTCTTTTCTATTTTCCTTCTTAGTCATTCCATCCTCAGAAATAGTTTTTTTTATCAGTGTCTCCTCTAGTATCATGTTTTCATGCTTGCAAAAGACTCGGCTTTCAATTCTATCTACTGTTTAAGTTACAGATTATACAATACTTGCTACATGTTTCTTATTAGACTTTTTAAGCAGGTTCAACTAGGTAGCAAGTTGGTACCATGACTCTTATACAGAAATGTGCAAGCAGGAGTATCTACTTTTTTATAGCATTTGCAGATCTCCTTACCATATCACTCTGCAGGAACTCCAGAGTTTTCTTGTGTTCATCCACAGTTTCCTGCATTGCCTCCACAGCAAGATGGACACTGTTTAAAGTATTGCCAATAGAAGCTACACTCTGCAGACATATATAAGAATGTCAGTTCTCCCTTTATAGCAGCTCTACTAAGATTTGACTGAAACGCACTTCAAATTGTACCACAGCATTATTTGTCATAAATACACAGATGACACCATTATGACAATCAAGGCAATACACACCTTTCACCTCCAGAAATTTCCTCATGCTCCTTCTAATTCCTTTCTTTCTGACCCCAGGCAACCCTAACACACTTTTTGTCACTTAGGTATTACTTTCCATTTTTTAAAACTTAACATAAATACAACCAGTGAGCAATAACTTCCTTCCTTCCTTTCTCCTCCCTCCCTCCTTCCCCCTTTCTCTTTCTTTCCTTCCTTCCTTCCTTCATTCCTTCCTTCTTCCCTCCCTCCCTCCCTCCCTTCCTTCCTGTCACTGCTTTCACTCAGCACAAATAAGATTCATTGATGTTTTAACTACCTATATATTATATTCCATTGTATGGCTATAGCAGCTTGCTTATTCACCTGCTCATAGATGTTTAGGTTTTTTTTTTTGTCGGTCATGGGGCTTAAACTCTGGGCTTGGGTGCTGTCCCTGTGCTCTCCAGAACAAATGGAGAGGAGTATTTAGAAGAAATGACAATGTTAAAGTTAACTGGGCACCAGTTACTCCCTTACGTGTGATCTCAGAAGGCTGAGATCTGAAGATTGTGGTTCAAAGCCAGCCCAAGCAGACAGATTCAAATGACTTTTTCTTTTTTTTTTGGTCAGGCCTGAACTCTGGGCCTGGGTGCTGAACCTGAGCTCTTCAGCTCAAGGCTAGCCCTCTACCACTTGAGCTATAGCACCACTTCCAGTTTTCTGGTGGTTTATTGGAGATAAGAGTCTCACAAACTTTCCTGCCCGGGCTGGCTTTGAACAGCGGTCCTCAGATCTCAGCCTCCTGAGTAGCTAGGATTACAGGAGTGAGCCACCGGTGCCCGGCTAAATGTTCCAATTTTTTTTTTTTTTTTTTTTTGGGTCCGGACATGGGGCCTGAACTCTGGGCCTGGGCACTGTCCCTAAGCTCTTCAGCTCAAGGCTAGTGCTAGTGCTCTGATGTTTAGTTTTTTTCAGTATTGAAATTAGAAATAAAACATTCCTGCAAGTCCTTATGTGGACTTGTGATTTTATTTCTCTTTTTCCCATTATTACAATATTTGAGGTAAAGGCTGATCATAAGGTAGGTAGGTCTATACTTGACCGTGTGTGTGTGTGTGTGTGTGTGTGTGTGTGTGTGTGTGTGTGTGATATTCTCTTCAGTATACTCTTTTTCCCATTATTACAATACTTAAGGTAAAGGCTGATCATAAGGTAGGTAGGCCTATACTTGACCGTGTGTGTGTGTGTGTGTGTGTGTGTGTGTGTGTGTGATTCTCTTCAATATACTCTTTTTCCCATTATTACAATACTTAAGGTAAAGGCTGATCATAAGGAAGGTAGGTCTATACTTGACTCTGTGTGTGTGTGTGATTTCTCTTCAGTATATTCTTTTTCCCATTATTACAATACTTGAGATAAAGGCTGATCATAAGGTAGGTAGGTCTATACTTGACCGTGTGTGTGTGTGTGTGTGTGTGTGTGTGTGTTGGTTCTGGGGCTTGAACGATCATAAGGTAGGTAGGTCTATACTTGACCGTGTGTGTGTGTGTGTGTGTGTGTGTGTGTGTGTGTGTGTGTGTTGGTTCTAGGGCTTGAACGATCATAAGGTAGGTAGGTCTATACTTGACCGTGTGTGTGTGTGTGTGTGTGTGTGTGTGTGTGTGTGTGTGTGTGTGTGTGTTGGTTCTGGGGCTTGAACGATCATAAGGTAGGTAGGTCTATACTTGACCGTGTGTGTGTGTGTGTGTGTGTGTGTGTGTGTGTGTGTTGGTTCTGGGGCTTGAACGATCATAAGGTAGGTAAGTCTATACTTGACCGTGTGTGTGTGTGTGTGTGTGTGTGTGTGTGTGTGTGTGTGTGTGTGTGTGTTGGTTCTGGGGCTTGAACTCAGGGCCTGGGAGCTGTTTCTGAGTTTCTTGGCTCAAGGCTAGCTCTCTATCAATTGGGCCATAGTTTCATTTCTAACTTTTTGGTAGTTAACTAGAGATAAGTCTTACAGATATTTCTGCCTGGGCTAGCTTCAAACTCAGATAATCAGATCTCAGCTTCCTGTGTAGCTGAAATTAAGGAGTGTGTCACTGGTGCCTAGCTTATACTTGCCTTCTGGAAAAACAAAGAAAAAAGAAAGCTGAGCACCAGTGGCTCACACCTGTTATCCTAGCTACTCAGGAGGCTGAGCTCTGAGGATTGAGGTTCAAAGCCAGCCTGGGCAAGAAAGTCTGTGAAACGGTTATCTCCAATAAACCACTGAAAACCAGAAGTGGTTCTGTGGCTCAAGTGGTAAAGTACTAGCCTTAAGCTGAAGAGCTGAAGGACAGCACCCAGGCCCAGAGTTAAAGCCCCACCACCAACAAAAAAAAGAAAAAAGAAACCTGCCAACAATCTTCTGAAAAGATTTTTACCATTTCTGCAGTCCCACCAGTAGTGTTAAGAGAGTTTCCATTACTCTTTATATTCATGAATTCTGATGTCTCCAATTTTAGTCATTTTAGTAAAGTGTACTGCTATCCTATAATTTTAATTTACACAAAACACTCATCTAGTTACTATTATTGTTGTAGTTGTTGTTTTTTGGTACTGAGGACTGAACTCAGGCCTTCAGGTGCTCTATCATGTGGGAAAATATCCCCAGCCTTCCCATGTTTTTATTTTTATTATTGTAATGATTTGTGCAAAGGGTTTTTCACTGTGATATTTTCATACATGTATATATGCTCATGTTGGCCTTGAAATTGTGATTTACCTTTCCCTGTCTTCTGAGTAGCTAGGATTACAGGTGTGGGCTACCATGCCCAGCTGAATGAGAATAGGAAATACATGTTTCCCCTTGTACATTTAAATAGTTTCCTATACATAAAAATCTAAGCTATCTTCTGGATTTAAATGATTTTTCTCAGAGGAAAACCAAATCCTTCCTAAAGTTCACAAATCAGGGACCCATAAATCTGGGACCTATAAATCTGGGACCCATAGATAAGGTTTCCCTTAAACTACCCCTGTTAAGTCCTGCAGTAAACAGATGGCTAGAGCCAAGTCTGTAGACTGCCCACTGGGTCAGGAGTGAATTTTTACTCTATTGTTGTTGGTGGTGGTCATGGGGCTTGAACACAGGGCCTGGGCATTGCCCTTGAGCTCTTTTGCTGAAGGTTAGTGCCCTACCACTTTGAGCTACAATACTACTTTCGGTTTTCTGGTGGTTAACTGGAGATTAGAGTCTCAGGGACTTTCCTGACCCAGCTGGCTTCTAACTGCAACCTTTAGATCTCAGCTCCTGGGTAGCCAGGATTACAGGTGTGAGCCACTGGTACCCGGCTGAATGATGACTTTTGAACAAAATGAGGTAATATATATTATTGGCTCTAGGAAACAGTATTACAGAGATTAAGAAAAAATTCTACTTGGCAGTTATTCCTCTTCTTTAGATTTTTTTCAGCAACTATTGGACAGAATTAGGTCTTAGAGGATTAAGTTACTTTGCTTTCATTAGAACTAAGAAACCCAAGTATATTGGGAAGTCATTTAAAAAAGTTCTGTCCTAAGGAACATCCAAAAAAGCGCTACTATATGATGGGCTGTAGCCTTTTATTGAGATATGCTGATAATCCATTGTCACATTATTATTTTTAACCATGACAATTTTTTGTTATACTGATATTGAAGAATCCAACAGAACAAGAGGTAACATTTTCAGTATTAAGAAAAAAATTATATACATTAAAGTTACATATCTGGTCTGATTTGCTACTTCAATACTTAAATATAAGCCATATAAAGCAGTGCCCAGCATTATTAATGCGAGGCTTTGCAAAGAGTCAATGTACAGGGTAGAAGTTTCTAAGCTGGGATGCTGTGTAAGCCCTGTTGTTATAAAAGCTACAAGCATTCACAGATACCTACTGTTAGGAAATTCTCACTTGCTGGATGTATGAGCCCATTAGAACAGCACCAAGATAGTAAGCTCTTGTTTAGGGATTTTTTTTTTTTTAAAGCAGCAGCTGACAGAGCCATGTAAACTCAGCAATGAAACCCTGAAACTAATATTCCTATTATCTGCAAAGTGCCTGGCACATCCTGGAGGAAGCTCTACAAATGTTTACTCAATTAATGAATGCAAGGACAGATCAATTTCCTTTTCTAATGTAATACTGTCAGAATTGCTTAGGTACTGGAGGCCACAAAAGCCTGCCCTTTCTCACTTGACCCCTGGGAAGGACAGGCTTTTGAACAAAACTTATAAGGAGCTAGAATCCCATCAGTAGATCAATCTCAGTACTTGTACTTAGCACATACCTTCTGAAGTCCCTCTATCGTGGTGGGCAGGCTAATTAGGTCTGCAGCTGACTTAACATTGGCTTTGAGGTGATTTACTGCAGAAGTTAACATAGATATCTGGAAGGAAAAGAGTAAAAAAAAAAAAATCAATGAAAACACAGTATGTGAAGTGAATGCTTCCTTCCCAAGTTCTACAGTTGAGATATTAAAAGCATCTGTCAGCTCACAGTACCTTGGATAAGGTTCAGATTCAGGAGGTGACAATAACACCCCTGCCCAATTTAAACTAATGCCAAAGAGGAAAAGGTGCGTGTTGTTCTTTACCCTAGTCCTGCCAAGTTGCAAGGTCCAAAAGATGCAGTGATTACCACATAATCCTTCAACAGTTGGACAGGAAAAAAGCTAATAATCAAGGACCACTTCATGCTTCATATTGGTAAAATATAACATCTCAGTTATTTAACTGAACTTTTGTTCCTGTCCAGGTGGGAACATACATTATAAAGTAAAAGCCCATCATCACAAAATACAGTCTACAGGAACCATATCCCGACAACATGAATAGCACTTTCAACTATTTGGGGATTTGGTTTAATAATGTGATTAATATTTCAAACTCAATAGCTCAACCAAAGCATTATTTTGTCCCCTGAAGGGGTCAATAAATACCCACTGACTCACTGACTGATGCAACAAATGTATGAAAAAATAAGAAGTGAATAAAAATAAAATGTGGCTTTCCTTCTACTACTTAGGGATAGACTACCTTATATAGAATACAAAGGAATCTGTATAACATTCAATTTCAAGACTCAGAGATCATTTTCTAACAAGCCTCACAGTATGACTCAAAACACTCTTCAAAAGATCTCACCCTCCTGAATAGGTAGGATTACAGGCATGAGCCACCAGTATGCCCCCCCCCACTTGTAAACAGACATTTTGATACAAAATATCAGATGTGTTCTTTAGTAGAGAGACTTAATCATATCATTCTTCAAAGTGTTCCAAAATATAGTCTTACCAACATCCTAATTCCATCCAAAAACAAAAAAAACGAGGACTGGACACATGGCTTAAGTGGTAGAGCACCAGCAGAAAGTCAAGTGAGATCACAAGACCCTACCTCAAGAAAAAAAAAAAATGAGCTGGGCACTGGTGGCTCACGCCTGTAATCCTAGCTACTCAGGAGGCTGAGATCTGAGGATCGCGGTTCAAAGCCAGCCCGGCAGGAGAAACCATGAGACTCCTATCTCCAATAAACCACCAGAAAACCGGAAGTGGCGCTGTAGCTCAAGTGGTAGAGCGCTCGCCTTGAGCTGAAGAGCTGAGGGACAGCGCCCAGGCCCAGAGTTCAAGCCCCACGACCGACAAAAAAAAAAAAAAAAAATGATAGGTTAAAAAACCAACACAAAAAATGTGAGAAACCTCAGACTCAGGGAGATACTATCAATAAGCCTCTTAAGAATAACAATTACTAGAGCAGAGTACCCGTGGCTCACACCTATAATCCTAGCTATTCAGTTCACAGCCAGCCCGGGCAAGAAAGTCTGCAAGACTCTTATCTCCAATTAACCACCAGAAAAAAACAAAGTGGTATGGTAGTAGAGTGCTAGCCTTGAGCTGAAGAGATGAGGGACAGCTGACCCAGGCCCAGAGTTCAAGCCTCATGACTGACAAAAAAACAAAACAAAATGAAAGAATAGCAATTACATGAAGTTTTCAGGAAATAGGTATTTTCATGAATTGTTTTGGGAATGTAAATTGGAGAAGGCTTAATAAAATTGCTTTCAAAATCTGAAATATTGCTGGGTACCAGTGGCTCACACCTGTAATCCTAGCTACTCAGGAGGATCAGGATTATGGTTCAAAGGCAGCTTGTGCAGCAGTCTATGAGACTTTTATCTCCAATAAACCACTAATAAAGGAGCTGTGGTTCAAATGATACAGCACTAGCCCTGAGCAAAAGAAGCTCAATGAGAAGGCCTAGCTCCTGAGTTCAAACCCCAGGACTAGCACGTATGTGTGTGAACACACACGCACACATACACACACAATTGAAGTGTCCATATTCTTCATTCAACAACTTCCATTTCTAGAAATCTCTCTTGAAGACTACTTGCTCATGTGCACAGATATATACAAACAAGGATATCCAAGTTTCCTTATTTATAATAGCAAAGTACTAGGGTGGGGATCTAGCTCAGTGACACAGCACTTGTTTAGTGTGCATGAGGCCCTAAGTTTGATTCTCAGTACCACAAAAATAAAATAAATCAAGAGGTAGAAATAATCTAAATAATTACCACTAGGGATACAGATACATGTGTGTCCTCTAAAAAAGCAAGGTATAGAAAAACCCATATTCAATGTCCTCATTTATTTACAAATATGTACACTAGCCATAAGCTAACTCATATTAAAAGCTATTATGGTTTTGTAAATACACAGAACAGACTGGAAAGATACAACTCATACTACTGACTGCAAATAACAATGTAGACTGAAACACAAGTACATGCATGTGTGTATGAGGATTAAAGGGAAACTTGAATAGGATTTCTATATGTTCTGCATGTTCTATATATTCTGTAGGTTCTATATGTTTTATTATATAAATCTTTTATTCATATCAAAATTTTAAAATCAAAAGTGACATACATACACATAGGAAAACAGTATCACATAACTTAGGAAAAGGTTTGGAAGATTTCTTTGACTACCTTTTACTTTCATGTAAAAGTAGGACTTCCATAGCTATCAGAACATGTCTAGCAATAAAGTGGCTGAAAGGGAATACCTCTCCAGGTACATTTTTACACATTCTTACAAAATAAGTACAGAAGGACTGGGAATGTGACTTAGTGGTAGAGTGCTTGCATGAAGCCCAGGGTTCGATTCCTCAGTACCACATAAACAGAAAAAGCTGGAAGTAGCACTTTGTCTCATGTGGTAGAATGCTAGCCTTGAGCAAAAGAAGCTCAGGGATAGTGCTCAGGCCCTGAGTTTAAGCCCCAGGACTGGCAAAAAAAAAATAAAATAAAAAATACAAGAGGCCCAAAGCCAATTTAATGGACAATATAGGCCCCTTTCAATTATGTGGTTTACCTTTCAGCCTGGAGGCTGAATTCCCACTGATAATAACTGGCCAGGACTGAAAGAGACCACAAGCTCTGAGTAGAGACTATTCACCCAGGTGCTACAATAACCTGGGCCTATGGCAGAGTTAATATCAAGTATCTCAGGAATGGCAATGACCTTGTAGGCCAGTATGGCTGGTATGACAGCTGTGTGTGTGTGTGTGTGCGTGCGCGTGCGGCAGTCCCACAGCTTGAACTCAGGACCTGGGTACTGCCATACTGCCCTTGAGCTTCTTTTGCTCAAGACCAGTGCTCTACCACTTCAGCCATAGCTACATTCTCAGCCTTTTTATTTCTGGTAGTTAATTGGAGATAAGAGTCTCATGGACTTTCCTGTCTGAGCTAGCTTTATTTATTTATTTTTGCTGGTCTTGGGGCTTGAACTCTGGGATGGGTACTATCCCTGAGCTCCTTTTGCTCAGGGCTAGCATTCTTTTTTTTTTTTTTAAATTGTGAAAATACTGTACAGAGGGGTTATAATTACATGGGCAAGATAATGAGTACATTTCTTATCAAGCATTGTAGGCTCTTCCTTTGTTTCCCCTTCCCATCTCCCCCTGCCCCCCCCAATCCTCTTCCCTCAGGGCTAGCATTCTACCACTTGAGCTACAGCGCCACTTCTGGAGATACTAGTCTTTCAGGCTTTCCTGCCTGGGCTGGCTTTGAACCACAATCCTCAGATCTCAGCCTCCTGAGTAGCTAGGATTACAGGCATGAGCCACTAGTGCCCAGTTGACAGTTTTTATTTCATACCAAATCAGAGAAGAAATGGAAGTAGGAATAGGTAAAGTAGGTACTAATTCATCTTTCCTCGTTTCATAAAATACTCTAGGTGTAGGGTTTTAGCTGGATAACTGAAATAGGATGCTCTGGAGAGCTGACCATCAGTTCTGCAGTTACCTAACATACTTAGGGCATTTTACTTACTCAGACCTGAATCACAACTCTGGTCATCAGAACTCAGCTATATTCTTATAAATTACAAAACTAGATTCCCATCTTCCAGTCTTCCTCTCCTCAGTGGCGTAATGCCAAAATCTGTGGAAAACTACAAGACAGTTACATGTGTAATAAGACTGAAGAACGGAGGGGCACCTTCCCATTACTGTTTCTAGAACTCCTCTGGCCTCAAGTAGGCACATTCTAGAATGTGAGATTAGATTTAAGTATTATAGAAGTTATCACTGAATCATATTTTGGGATTTGAAGGGTCTAAAAACTTGAATTAAATAGAAACCATTAAGAAAAAAATCACATTTCAGCCAAAAGATAAGTCATGACTTTCATTCATTTATATGAATCTTTATTAATAGAATTAAAAACAGCTACTAGAGATCATTTAATACATCATTTAGTACTATAAAGTTGGAAATGTTACTTTTTTGCCTTGGGGATAAAATTAAGTGTTCTTTAAATAGTAAGAGTTACTACAACAATCATAACTCTCCCTAGCAGGGATCCAACAATGGAATCTTTGAGGAGCGTCTAGTGAATCCTGTAAGAGATATAAAGGTGGAAGGTAGAATGGGAACGTGGAAAGAAAATAGGCTCCCAAGACTTGAATATTCAGTGTTAGCATCACCACATAGCTGTGTGAACTTGGATAAACTATGTTAACTTTTCAAGGCTCCATCCATTTTTTTATCTGTAAAGTGGAGATGCTACTTTCTACTTCATATAGCTGTAGAAACAAAGGGTATCACATATATGCATCTAACAGTGGCCTACACAAAGAAAACCTTTAGCAAGTGTTATCTTCATTGGCACTATAATCACTATATTCTGTAGCATCATCATGGTACAATTTTCTGGTGATTTAGATGCATAGGCAAAATAAATAAATAAAAGGAAAAAAATCACAAAGGTATTTGGACTGAGTGCTTACAAAGATACAGAGAGTATAAAGAAGGACACTCCAGTGGGTAACAATGCTTGATAGGAAATGTACTCATTACCTTACTCATGTAACTATAACCC